TTGGTTTTTTTTTTTTTTTTTTTTTTTTTAGGAATGACAGGCCGCAGATGCAATCCCTGCGGCGTGGGGTTCGGGGCCCCGAAAAATTGGGTATTTTAAAGGGCGAACGGTGCCATTTGGTAAGACTTAGAACTGTGATTCAGCTAGTCAAAATTCTAATTTCAAGAAGGGACCATTGGTGTGTTTTTTTTTTCCGAAATCGAAGGTCAGGACCCCCTTGACACCCCCTCCCCCATATCCGTCACTGCTTAATTTTAAAAGTAGGAAGTTGTGTGTTTATTTATTTATTTATTTGTTTATTTGTTTATTTGTTTGTTTGTTTGTTTGTTTGTTTTTACAAGACTTATCTAAAATTAACATTTTAAAGACGGTATAGGCCCTTCAATTTTTTATTTGGGGGTGAGTTGTTATAAAAATATGGCACAAGTTGCAAAGCATCAGCTTATTGGTCCCAAAACGTTAATTATTACATTTAAAAAATCTACCATGGAAATATATCCTTTGAATTGGCTCCTTGCGTTTTTCATGCACAACTGTCTGTTAATTAAGCGCTTCTGTTTTCAGAGTGTGATTACAAGTATCGCAGCAAACACAATCACAACCGACACAATCATGGCGCACCCACCTCACTGAAGGCCTTTCACACGGAGGGGAAACTTCGCCACTTCGGGACTTGGGGACTTCAGCACCCGGGTATCTTAGTCGAGTGGGAGAATGGCCGCCACGGTGAGGTTTATCTGTGTCTTTTCTTTCTCTTTTTGGCTCTTTCCATTTGCATGATATATCGTGTAGATATACTTGACACCTTTGGTTCCAGGGGAGAGGTGAAGTTTTGAAAAATTTACGTGGCCCGATTGGAGCTCTGTCCAGGACATTCGCGTTTTTAGCACGTTTTTAGTCTAAGGGTTCATTCGCAATGAAACTTCTTTCCAACGTACTCGTTTCATCACTTCCTTTTTCTGTCTTTTATAGTCTATTCCTCAACATTTTTCATTTTGCGAGAGTCCACGCGTAGTTGAATCGATCTACCTTGAATAACAGTGTCATTAGGAATTACCCCTAAATGACTACAAATTGTAACGACGATTTTAATAACAATGATATCAGTAAATAAGTGAAGAACTCGATCAGATATCTCCAACGGCTTTAATTGTACACCAAATTGAACTAATGCAACAAAAACGTCCAAGTGTGAAAGTTAAACATTCAAAATTAGATAGAAAGGGCAATATATTCACCCTCAGACCATGAACGCTCACCATTTCTGAGTAATGTCTCTCAAGTTCAGGTGTAACGAAACTGAGGGTACGTGTAACAGAAAGTCCGCCCTCCATATAGTTATAATGGTTAGGGTTAGTCTGACCTAAGTGGGTCGAAATCTAAGGCGAGGCTCACCTGTACAAATGAATGGGAAGAGGACTCTCTGTTATAGGGGACTCTCTGTTATAGGGGACTCTCCGTCACGTTTCATCGGTCCAAACGCATCCCGTCTAGTGGCCACCAGTTAATGTTAATGTCATGACAATCTATGTACCAGTACTGAAATAAATTGAATTGAATTGTTATTAAGAGCGCGTCCATGAGAAAGCCAGACAGATCGGTCAGAAGGCGGCAAGGTGGGGGTCAGCAGATTTTAATAATTTTTGGTGTGGTAAACCATCAACATAAAAGATATTGTGAGCCAATGGCTTTCTTATTTTGGATCATTAGTTTTAGAGATATGGGGGAAGGTCTTTTATCCACAATTTTGCCAAAATATAGCATTTTTTAGCTCTTGAAAAGTTATAATTTTAAATATTCTTTTAAAAATTCATGTACATCATAAGGAATTATTTAGGTAAGCCATATGATGGGTTAAGGAAAGACCTTTAATACCCAGTACAGATTTTTCGAAAGGGCACTGTCATGACCACACAAGGTTGATTCTAATAAGGCATGTTTTCCGTATGCTTGACCCCCTCTCCTTCTTTAAATGCACACATCTTCTTTTTTGCAGGTTGTATCCATATAATTTTGGTATGTGCTGATAGAAAAGGGTTGAAAAATAAATATTGTGAAATAAAATCTGTGTTAAACCTTGTAAAATTAGAACTATAACAATTTTAAAAAGGGCCTAAAAACGAATATTTTTATACTACTGAAATGCTAATCTGTTTCTTCAACTAAATTAATAAGTCAAAACCATACATAGGTTTGTGAAAAGCCCTTAAAATAATCATGTTTGCCCTGCAGACAAACTTATGAAGCAAAAATACATTTTTTTTAAATTTGTTTATGTTGTAGAAACTAAATGTAAAATAACAATGCTAACTCTGTGACCTATTTTCAACATGGCGGGTAGTAGGATTATCACCCAGGGGGTGGAAACGCGCTACTTATATGATTATGACGAGCCTAACCGTCAGCACCGGATATTAGTTAGCGACCTTGAGGGGCAATTAGGCTTGGTCTTTGCGGCACGCGCGAACAGTAGTCGATCTACCACACCTGGGTCTTGTTTTTGACAACTGTTCACTCGTCAAGGAGGTGCTTGTTCAAGACTACAGACTGATATCTACTAGTACTACCAGTGGCTTCATTAGTAACGTTCCCACAATACATGGTTTTCTGTCTGTGCGTACATACCCTGAATTTGGTTAGCCTCACTGACGAGAACAATGGACGTTTCTTACCCCTCTCTAGGATTACCCCTGTAAAGTATTCACTGGTTCTACTTACGGAGTGAGATTGTAGATCACTGTGTATTGTGTCTCAGTTCTGATTATTTTTTGTCGTCTGTACCGTACACGTCTGCACGGTAGCTGTGGTTGAGTTGTACTCACCGGGATCAGGCAGGGAAGTTGAACTCTCCACCTGGTGTGCGCAGTACTTACCGTAATTGCGCACTCTCCGCGCAGGGAGAGCACACCGGGTGAAGGTAGGAAAATGCACGAACACAACATTCCCCCCACTTTTATTTGAAAGGAGCTACTTATAAATACATGTTTGTCCATGTACAAACTCAAAATTCCTTTCGATAAATAAAATAAAGTGGATTCCAGTTGAAATATTCGTACAGACTGTCATTAGCTGTTAGTGCTAACAACATCACCGAGGTGATAGTCCGCCGAAGAAAAATACAAAAAATAAATAAACAGCAGAACAGACTGTGATGAGCTGTTCATTCACCAGCCAGTCACATCACCAAAAATATAGTGATAGTCCGTTCCAAAAATTCTCATAAATAAATGAAAAGAAAAATGGAATGCAAAAATAAGATCCCGGTATTTCAGAAATTATATCAAATTAGACTGTAGTCACGTGTTAACACAAAAATAAGCTACATAACAGTTATAGTCCATTAATGACAATAGACTGTAGCGATTTATTAACACAAAATAAACTACATCACAGAGTGATAGTCATATGGACTGTAGTCATGTGTTAACACAGAAATAAGCTACATAACAGTTATAGTCCATTAATTGATCTTAATAGACTGTAGCCATTTTTCTTAAACACAAAATTAAATAAACTACATCACAAAGTGATAGTCTAATTCTTTAAGGATATTGCTAGCAATATATTTAATTTTCCCTGTTGGAAAATTTTCACCGTGACGTCACGTTTTCTTATTTAACACTGGTGCTAATGTCCACACAGACTGAGACTCTTGTCAGCCTTGCATGAATCCGGTTGTTAACATTCCGTTAACAATGCCCCCTATGCTTTCTGCATGACACACGCAAGCATCCACCGCATACGCGATTTAAGGGATTCGGCATTCTCGGCTTCATTTCCACGTTCAGTGACTTAAGACCGACCAAGATCAAAATTGTCTCTAGTAAAACCATCTTTCAATTTAGAAAATACCCCTTCTAAATTTGATCCTGCACTATTCCCTTTAGATAATTCAAACATCACTTCCAGATGTTCAGGGATAACCTGTTTTACTTGAGACGCGCAACCCGAAGAGTATAACCCGATGTGAACGTCACCAGCGGTTTTACTTAAGTTTGGACTCTCGATGTTTGGAGTCTTGAAAGATGTTATACTACCGGTAGTTTTGTGTTAATTTTTTAGTTTTACAAACGTCTTCCAGTGAATGGGGCACTTGAAGGGCCCTTAGTGCTTCCACCCACCTTCAGAGTCTGTGACATTTAGTCCTTTTCAATCGGTTACTTGTTCTATGGATATTCTCGAAATTAGGGGAATTAACACTTGAAACCCCGGAGCAACTGTGGAGCAAAGCACATCGTCTTTACAGTGTTAAAACATAATGCTTTCTTAATTTTATGAAGAACACGCACTAGAGATGCTTAGGTACATCTCAGAAGGATTGGTGTGCACCAAAATATCACAAGAAATGGCCATAGCAGCTGGTCGTCCTTAGAATGTTTATTTTTTGGTGAACCACTTCAGACTGTTGTCACAGGCTTGGGTTCCTCAATATATCCAGCTCATCGATTTAGCTCTGGATGTTTGTTGTAAGGTAAGTGATCATATATATATATATAAAGAGATCCAAAAGAGATATTTGTAACACACTGTGATTCAATTTTCAAGACTTACATATTACACAGAACACTTGTACTACTAAAAGTACTTTAGTAAAATCAGGAAAACTTTGCCGTCCATTATGTTGTTCATGCTGCTTTGCAAGGGGGCGTGCCAGACAATTAAGCTGATTACAACGACTGAGCCTGAGTGTGATACTCCGCTGAGATAGATTGATCCTGCTACGATAGTTTCTATTCTGAACACAGTAAGCCTCTGTTGTTGTAAAACATTTATTGATGTTATGTTTATTTTTCAGATTTTACATCCTAGGCCTGAATGTGAACCTTGACCTGGACAATCTTACAGATAACAATAGAAGAGTCACCTGACATTGCACAGGCAAATTCATCAGTTTCAGATGTGAGTACCAACTATGTCTTTCTATCATGAAATTCTGGTAGCTACATCATGCATATTTGATTTCATATTCAATCATTGTTTTTACTTGTGCAATATTTTTTATCAGTATATTATTTAGTCATTGTTTTTATACAACAATTAACATAAGTTTAAAATATGTTTAATACATTTGCTTTTGACAGCCTGTCCTGCCATCTTCAGGTAGACGCAGTAGTGGATATCCTGGCGAACCTTTATTGGACTTAGAGCCACCTTGGGACAATCCCCCATAACAAATGTGCATCTTAGGCTTGGCAATCTCACTCAGTTTTGTAGGAAAGGAGGATTGGCACCATTGGATTGACAAATATTGACAATTGACAGTTCAGTCACACTAAAATATAGTGGCATGTTGCTGCAAGTTACCACACTTATTCCAAGATTGCTGAATTATCATTACTGTCTAAGGAGACCCAAGATCTCTCAACCAAAAGAAGAAACTTGGGGATCAATCAGTTATTAGATTAAAATACTGGAACACTACCCATCACTGTTGTGTTCACTATATGGAAAAGATGACCGTGATATTGGAACCTTGGAGATTCATAACTTGATTTTACTCCTGTGAAAAGTAACTGCTTTGTTCTTTTACTGTCCAATTGATGATATGAAAATAAAGCACTCCTCCTGTCACTGTATGTTGCTGACTCTGTTTTAATTTTCTTTATAGAAAAAGAATATAGATATCAAGATATCACATGTATTTACAAAACCTATGAATCATTTGAAAGGAAAAAGAATGGTTGAAAAATGCAATATAAATCATTTCAAGTGGATTAATTAGTGTTGCACTTGAGAAAACTGATAAAATGAGACAGTCATTACCTTTTGCCTTTAGAAAAGTGCTTTGTGATTTTTTTTTATTTTTCTCTCTTGCTCCCTGAAAATAAGGTATCTACACAATGCTGATGACATTGGATATGCACAGTAATAACTCATTGAATGTGGGGTGGGGGTGGGGGTGGGGGATTGAATAACTTGTCACTAATCATTTTAATTTATTCAGAAGTTGTATGGATCTGTTTGAAAAGAATATTATCTGAGCAATCCTGTATTACAGATCTCAAAATAAAAAACCTGCAAAAATGGGCCTCTTGATTATTTTGAGGAATTACGGTAACTGTATTTTGGGACAGAATTGATGGCATCCCTCTTGTATTTATAAAAATTGGATAGATTTGCCCTTATCAAAGCATTGTTTGAATTCCTGTCTGTGAGTGTTTGATTAAATTTGATTATTGGAAGGTATTATCTCAAAATGTACTGATATCTTGATTTCGGTCGTTTGGTTTTTTGCTAAAATTGCTAAAGTTTGAGGCACTTTTTCAATATCTTATGTTGTGTTTAACACACTTTTTAAAATTTGTATGATGAGACCAATATATGCTCAGGATCCCTATACAATTTTATGGCTGTCAACCCTGCAAAAAGAGAGATATGAATGCTTGAACATTGCTTGGTAGAAAAGTGAGTTTGGGGGGTGGGGTTATAAAAATGGGCGTGGCTCGTTAGTTTGTGGGTTAAACTGAAATTAAGTAACATATTCTCAATGGCAAATGGCTGGTTTAAATAGGTAAATTTTCAATTTATTTTAAAAAGTCATCAGTTTTGACATATTTGCTTATGAAGTGGCTTTATTGACCAAAGCTGAAAATCAAGCCAAAAATGGCCAAAACATTAAAAATTATGTTATAATTATATCCAATGATTTCTTTTGGGATTGTTGCCTTCAATGTGAATATCTCCTATATGTGCAACTATATTATGAATTTGGTTGAAATCTGTTGACCCCCACCTTGCCACCCTCTGACTGGTCTTATCATGGACACACACTTAATTTTTCCATATGAGTAATATATAGTAGTTAGAGATCCTTTACATGTAAAGTACATTTCTGTGCTCAATATATTATTATTTAATAAAAGAATACCACATGGCCCGACTGGGGCTCGAACCCAGGACATTCGCGTTATTAGCACGACGCTCTAACCGACTGAGCTATCGGGCCTCGCTTATTCCACTTTTAGCAAAACGTTGTCCGATGAGTCATCGTCAGTGTATAACACCGTTTTCTCACGGTTACTAATTTAGCAAAGGAAACTTGTACATTGGTGCCTGTTACATACTGATTAGATGCAATGTAAATAATATAAATAAAGCGGTATCGTTAGAACAGTGTCTTCTGTGATGATCTGTAATTGTGCTTTCTTGATTTTATAACTTCTTTCTTTTATTTTCAAATTTCTTTAGAAAATTTGACAGACTTCAGAATATCAGCAAAGATTCAGAGTGCTACCAGTATTTATTCCATTGGCGATGAACTAGTGTGTGCAATACTCGACCGCGAAATAAACTGGAAGAGGACGGATCTCCAACCAAGAGTAAGGTTTCTTCAAAATTTTTATAGTCATTGGTATCTCTCATCCTAGAAGCACATTTCTCTCTCTCTCTCTCTCTCTCTCTCTCTCTCTCTCTCTTTGAAAGAAAGGTTCGTTGAAAAAATATTTATTTATTTATTTATTACATTAAAATACAAAATAAACTGTGCCATCTGTTTTTTTTTCTTTTTTCATGCAAGGCAAAGTATTCCGTGGAGATCTGGCCCGTACCAGAGCAACTAACCGTAGAGATCGAGGTATGCGCTGTCTTCTCGTCTGCCCTGAGATGTTCAGTGATAGAATATAGGACAGAGAAGAAGAAGAGTGGTAGGTAATTTTGATAAGCCGTGCAGCTGAATAATATTCTAATATTAAAAGTCTTTTCAAAATTAAAACTTATAGATCTTTCTACCAGAAAATATTATGACAATCAGAATGTGCCATAGGCCTAGTCCCATTCAGGCCTTCTATTTTTATAGTTATTAAAGAAAGAATCAGGGTGAAGTCCTATTTAATGCTGAAGATCTGATGATCAGGTATGCTAGTGCAGATCTGTGCGTTACTGAATTCACGTTTTAAGCAATGTAGACATTCGATCAGTAATACAGCCTCTATAGTGCAATGTCCTACAGATTAACATTTCTTTCAAAACTTGCGAAATGCGTGTTAGTGATCAAGACCTGGAAATTGAAAGGGGTCGCTATACATCACCAAAAATCATAAGTGCCCCCACCGCTCTGAAATTGAAACAGAAACTCTTTCCGTACTGAAATGTAAGGAGCAAAACGACAGAATGAAGTAGATTAATGATAGTACGTGAGCAGAGAATGGACCCTGAAAAACTTAACTGGATGCTCTGTCCAAAAGTTTAATCATGCTTAAGAGCCATACATTTAAACATAACTGTAAGCATTGAGAAACGATATACATGTACCCATTACTTACAATAGTCTTATTATCCTAGTCTATTTCTCAGTCCTCATGCCTATTTTGTTAACTATGCATTTTGTATAAACAAATATACAGAGTAGAGAACCTATAAAATGTAATTTGTATATAATTTGTACACATTTAAGTGCTCAGTAACGTATTATTACTAATGCATTAGTTCCCAGCGCGGAGTGGACCACCCCCATCACACACAAGATTGTGCCCAGTCACAACAAACACAACGTGCTCGTCAGCTTCAGGAAGGCGCCACACGCATTTGCGGCGTACAATGTCAGCCTTTTAAGGGCGGAAGACCGAGATTTTGAGATTGTCTCTACTGTGTTTGTGCCGTCTGTAAGTAACTGATGTAAATGACTTTGATTGCAAGATATTCTGATATTTCTCATTTGGATATTTTTACAGTTTAGATGATGTTGTTATGAACCTTCCACTGTGGCCTGCTGCGCCTGTATTCCTTTTGATATAAATTAGTTGTAATATTTATTATTTTTAGACATCAGAAAAAATCGAAGTTAACTTCAAAAGAAATTGCCCCGGCCGATACAAGATATGGGTAAGAAAAACCGACTTATTGTGTATTGTTATTAATTTTTTCACATATTATGTGTCTGTTGATTAGCCCAATATGACTCTTACATTTACACCAGTGCTAAGTATTCTCCTTATATATTAATGATCGCCAATATTTAAAACAAGCAAATCATTANAAGTATTCCGTGGAGATCTGGCCCGTACCAGAGCAACTAACCGTAGAGATCGAGGTATGCGCTGTCTTTTCGCCTGCCCTGAGATGTTCAGTGATAGAATATAGGACTGAGAAGAAGAAGAGTGGTAGGTAATTTTGAGAAGCCGTACAGCTGAATAATATTCTAATATTAAAAGTCTTTTAAAATTAAAACTTATAGGTCTTTCTGCCAGAAAATATTATGACAATCAGAATGTGCCATAGGCCTAGTCCCATTCAGGCCTTCTATTTTTATAGTTATTAAAGAAAGAATCAGGGTGTAGTCCTATTTAATGCTGAAGATCTGATGATCAGGTATGCTAGTGCAGATCTGTGCGTTACTGAATTCACGTTTTAAGCAATGTAGACATTCGATCAGTAATACAGCCTCTATAGTGCAATGTCCTACAGATTAACATTTCTTTCAAAACTTGCGAAATGCGTGTTAGTGATCAAGACCTGGAAATTGAAAGGGGTCGCTATACATCACCAAAAATCATAAGTGCCCCCACCGCTCTGAAATTGAAACAGAAACTCTTTCCGTACTGAAATGTAAGGAGCAAAACGACAGAATGAAGTAGATTAATGATAGTACGTGAGCAGAGAATGGACCCTGAAAAACTTAACTGGATGCTCTGTCCAAAAGTTTAATCATGCTTAAGAGCCATACATTTAAACATAACTGTAAGCATTGAGAAACGATATACATGTACCCATTACTTACAATAGTCTTATTATCGTAGTCTATTTCTCAGTCCTCATGCCTATTTTGTTAACTATGCATTTTGTATAAACAAATATACAGAGTAGAGAACCTATAAAATGTAATTTGTATATAATTTGTACACATTTAAGTGCTCAGTAACGTATTATTACTAATGCATTAGTTCCCAGCGCGGAGTGGACCACCCCCATCACACACAAGATTGTGCCCAGTCACAACAAACACAACGTGCTCGTCAGCTTCAGGAAGGCGCCACACGCATTTGCGGCGTACAATGTCAGCCTTTTAAGGGCGGAAGACCGAGATTTTGAGATTGTCTCTACTGTGTTTGTGCCGTCTGTAAGTAACTGATGTAAATGACTTTGATTGCAAGATATTCTGATATTTCTCATTTGGATATTTTTACAGTTTAGATGATGTTGTTATGAACCTTCCACTGTGGCCTGCTGCGCCTGTATTCCTTTTGATATAAATTAGTTGTAATATTTATTATTTTTAGACATCAGAAAAAATCGAAGTTAACTTCAAAAGAAATTGCCCCGGCCGATACAAGATATGGGTAAGAAAAACCGACTTATTGTGTATTGTTATTAATTTTTTCACATATTATGTGTCTGTTGATTAGCCCAATATGACTCTTACATTTACACCAGTGCTAAGTATTCTCCTTATATATTAATGATCGCCAATATTTAAAACAAGCAAATCATTACGATAGTCTTTATTCCCAATAATTCAGTTCTATGTTGTCAACTTTTTTATCATTGGCCATTATTTTTCCTTATATCTAAATATTTATTCATCCATTTTCGTATATGCTATTCTTAATTGTTTAGATTTTTTGATTGGATGACAGTCATCACTTCCGAGTGTTTAGATATTAAAATCGCTATACTTCTGTTAGCTAAATACCTATTCAGATAAAACAGATTTAGCAAAAGAACTGTGCAGAGAAAAGGTAGGAAAAAAGAGTGATTATTTTTTCGTATAGCGAGAAATAAAAGGTATCAAAGGTTCCAGAAATAAGTAGTGAAGTAATGTACAGTAAACCAGAAAGCCACCGTTTCAAATGGAAACGTGTAATAGCAACTCTTCAGAAGATGTAAAAAAGGGAACACACAGGATTGGGCTATATTTGCTCACAAAAATTCTAAGTGAAATAAAAATAGGTGATTATACGAAACCAGCCTTCGCTGCGTTGCTAAAGTGAAAAAGGGCCTATGTGTCTCCTTTTTAATTTCTATCATATATGTCCGATTTCCCTTTCAACCCTCAGGTAGAACCTATGGGCACAGGGCCCGGGGTTCGGTGCGCATGCGTTAACAGATACGGCGGCTGCGAAACCCACTGTACCACATCAGCAACAGAGGTCTTCACAATAAAAGGTAAAAAAATAACACGTGTAACATGCATGCGAATGCTTGTGTGGGGGTTCTTTCTCCCTAGCACACACGTTAGGTTATGCATGCACCCTTAGTCATTTTGTCAAAGTTTTTCTCAGCCACGTGGATGATATACCAGTGAAACGCAGCGTGAACATTATAAGAGTAAACACTAACGAAAGAAGCTACAGGCAAGAATTTCGTGGAAATAGCATTCAAAGTTTTTTATTTATCTTATTTTGTTTAGTGAGTTCTAACTGGATATTGAAAAACAAGTATTGCACCAGAGAATTCTGTCTACTGGCACAGGGATACTGATAACCTTTATCAAATATTATTATTATTATTATTATTATTATTATTATTATTATGTTCTTTTAAATTATATTTTTTATGTATGTTTATTATTTATTTATCTATTTATTTATTTATTTTTAGGCCCTTTCTCACCGGAGTGTGATGTAACTAAGCCCACGTTGGCGGCGCCTTAGGGCCAACGGAGTTTAATTTGAATCTACACCCAAAGCGAAATGCAGCTTTTGCAGCCAAAATACTCTCGCATGGACTTTTATTTAAAAGATATCCCTACTTTAGTGAAGACTAAGAAAAAGGACCAGACAAATATAAGTCGCTATAGACAAAAGAGTCTTCACAAGTCTAAGAAAAAGGAGTTCATGATCACACTGTGGTCGTCTTGCGTTATCGTAAATCGTTATGCACAGTATATTTACAGATAAATTTAGACAACGCAACATTTTGTTGATTATTATTTCTTGTATAGTAAAACTTATGCTCTTTCCTATATCTACACCGCAGTTATCAGCGCCTTAATGAACTGAACGTTGTGCCAAACTTTTCAAACGCACATGTATTTATTCTACACTATAAGTTTTCTTAAACACAATAAAATCACAGAGTTAATCGTCTTGCCGAATAATTTGTAATGCATAGGTTTGTTTAAGGGGGCATTTATAGTGTTCCATAGACCTACCCGTACGTTATTAATAAACAACATAGTTCTTACCTCTTTATTGTGCATGCCCTTTTGTGTGAAGAACCCGACTTTCTAAAGAAAAGCATAACATCTGTGTCAAAGCCGCGCAGTCAAAGTAAACGTATAAAGAATGCATCGCTAGGTAGGCCCTTATAGTGTTGTTTGTTGACACCATGTATTAAATTACCGATCTTTATAACTTAGTTTAGAGGTGAAGGTAACGCGCAGGGGGGTTGAAAAGTATAGAACCGCTCTATGCTTGGAGTATGATTATGATGAATTGGGACGTAGTGACCATTCCCAGACCCTATCGTCTTAACTGTGGATCGATCTATCTCCACCGGGATTCTCGCTAAACGTCAAGTCATTCAATGGCATATGTATATGCGTATTATAAACAAATAAAAACTCTCAAACCAAACAGTTGGCTGCTTCATATTCTCTTGGGCCACAAAAGAAAAGAATGGCCCGACTGGGGCTCGAACCCAGGACATTCGCGTTATTAGCACGACGCTCTAACCGACTGAGCTATCAGGCCCTCACACTCACTTGTGACTGGCAATTATACTCTCTTGGGTCATCGTCGGTATCACAACACTTGTGCGCTTACTTAGCCAGCATTATTACACAGTGGCTGATTTAGAGGAGGGGGAGTGTCAGGGGTGTCTTGCCCCCCCCCCCCTTTTGATTTCTGGATATTAGAATTTTGACTAGCTGGATCATAGTTATAAACCGAACCAAATGGCACCTTTCGCCCTTCAAAGTACCAACATTTTTCGGGGCCCTTCAGCACCCCCCCTCCCCCCCCCCCCCCATCCATCCCTGATTACATGTACTTGTTCAATCATTTTTTGACTTTTGATTACCATTATAAAGTTTGAAATAAAACTAAAAAATCTAAGATAAGTCGGGCTTTTATGCATGGTTCTGCAGCATTCAATATGAAAATGTACTAAAGAGTTTCCAAAATACATTTGTCAGCCATTTTATGGTCCATATGCTAACGTTTTTAAAATGCAAACTTATACGTGCCCCTATAACGTATTAAACTGACACAAATTTAGCATTATAGCCCCTAATTGTTCTATCTTCAGGTTCAAGATATAAATTCACCGTCGAGATGTTATATTTGCCGATGAGGAAGGTTCAATATTCATCTTGTAGGCCTTCTCCGTTTCTTTTTTCTCCATGAACGTCTTAAATTATAAATTGACAGCAATCCATCTGACAGAATAAGACAGTAAAACAAAATTTCATTTGCTTTCCAATTCTAAAACACCGTTAATATGTTTTTAACCAATTGTAAACTTCGCAAAAGCCCGAACAATGTATGCGTGTTTTTAACACCCTGTAAGGTATAAAACCAGCATAGCCTTATAACTGACTGAGGTCAAGTTGAACAAAAGTTTTGACCTTCCTCCTTCCTTACCGAACAAGATGGCGAGAAGTAACGAGGAGACTCACACTTCAGCGTACACAAAACACAGAAGTTAAAAGATACAGGCATATCATGTGTTAATGATGGACGCCCACGAAACATGACGGCGTCGCTGAGGTGCCCCTACTGCTTATATCTGTTTTGGATTTTATCGCTCATAGCCGCGGTTCAGGGCTCCGGTATATTGTACCCTTATGGGCTCGCGGAGGGAGACGCCACAGTGCCGGTGAGCGACGACGGGGGGACAGGGGAGATAGCGCTGGCTGCTGGTTTCCCTTTCTTCGATCAGGTCCATTCGTCCTTATACGTACGTATGATAGATGTAGTGCTTTTATATCCTGTATTTTTAAAAATTTGTACTGAAATCTATTTAATGATATCATTGTGCTAATGAATTTGTTGGTATCATATGAAGACTACTGTAAGGCGTATGCGGTGCTACGTATTTTCTTTTGAATTCTTCCGTCCCCTTATTTATAACATATCATTTGCCGTATTTTTTTCACTGAGTTATTAGCTTGTTGGTGTCATATTATAAACTGTTTCTTCATATTGTACGTTTAAACGTTTTGTTCGGTTTGTGTCGGGAGGTGAGTCAAATATTTTTTTTTCTTTTACTTCATAAATTTTGTATTAGTAAGTCCTCTATTCTATTCCATATTCTACTCTACCGTGCGGTCATGTTTTGATAAAGATGGGTGGTAGAAAACGGAGAGGGCAAAAATAAGTGTCTAGTTTCCAGTTTCCTTTCTCAAAAAGCGATTCTGGTAACCAGAATCTAGTGTCGTAAAAAAACGGTTCCGAAAGGATCTTGTTCTTCGTTCAGGGCAGGGCCCCTCTACAAGGCCCGCAGGGTCGTGATTCTTCTTCTATTTCTTTCTCTTTCTCGTTCGTGGAATTATCAACCAACACAAAGTAATTCATCGTATTACAGGGTGCGTACCGGTATTCCGAATAAAACTGTGTTATATTTCATTCTTATTTTAAATCTCCTCTCTTCCCGCCCATCAAAAGACAACTTACTTTTTAAACCGACATTTGATTAGATTTTATTGTATTTATTCAGGTGAACTCAAACGGTGCTATTTCCTTCCTTGTCTCGGTCACCCAGTTCACTCCCGACCCCTTCCCACTGGACTCAAACAGGAGGATCATCGCTCCTTTCTGGGCAGACATCGACACCTCTCGAAACACGGGGAGGGTGTACTACCGCCAGACCACGAGCGAGGCGGTGCTGAATAAAACCGACGAGGACGTGAGGAGAGCGTTTGTGGTTCTGTCCAACTTTAACGCCACCTGGGCGTTTGTCTGTACCTACGCCGGCGTGACGTTTTATGGCGGCAGCAGCACTACACCGGTAATGATTTGTGTGGAGTTTGAGATTAAATGGGATGAAACAATTCCGGCGATCTTTATCTAATATCTTTAATTTCAAATATTTGAAGTTACTGTCTCAAGGCTATGACAATTTCGTTTTGTTTCTGAACAATAAAAAGAACAAGCTAGGCTTTGAACAGGTTTATTTCATAGCAATCTCGGACACCAGTGATTAAATTCCTCCGTGTGCTTTCTTCCAGACGAACACTTTCCAGGTTGTCTTGACAACGGATGGACGTCATTCCTTTGTTATATTTAACTACTTACAAGTGACGTGGACAACAGGGACGGCAAGCGGTGGAGACTCTGTGAACGGCCTGGGTGGAACGCCAGCACAGGTAAAAACAACGCGGGGTGCTTAAAGACAGTGATGGGTTTGCTTATATAAAATTCAATTAAGAGTGATAATTGTTAAGCAGTATTTTACATACCTATGTTTTATTTAAATATATGATCAGGAATTGTAGAAAGTAAAACAAAAAATATTAATATACGAAATAGATATACTATTGAGAAATGCTGGCCTAGTCAGTATAGAAGGGCTGAGAATACTGTGAGTGAAAGAGGCGCTTGGCTTGTCTTCAACAGCATGTGATGGCTCCGACGTGCTGCTGAAGATGTTATGATGATGACTACGAAATGATACACATTTCTATACACACCTACAGAATGGGATGGCCAAAGACTCTCCGTCTTTGACTAAATTCTAACCGTTTCCTGTTCCCAACAGCATTTTATATCAAACGTCTTCTTTTAAGTTTAAAATCGTTCAACCTGTGGAACGCAGTTTTTCAGTGAAGGAATCAGACTGCAACATGCCGCAGCCGCACCTTTCGAAAAAGAAAAAAATCATCTCATCTTATTTCAAGTCTTCTTTTACTACATAACTGCCTGTCTAAATTTCCTGTCAATACAAATTTAACAAGTAGTGCTATATTTCTTTTCATTTCTTTCGTGTCTCGTTCACTCCAACTGTACACAGGCAGGCTTCAATGCTGGCGATGGAATACGCTATTTCTCCGTACCTGGCTCCAGAACCTCTTCTATCGTGGACATTGAGACAAAGAGCAATGTCCTCATACCCGGCCGGTGGGTGTTCAGGGTAGACGAGGCCACGGTGGTAGCCGCTGGATGCACGGAGGCAGGTAAGGATTTACCAGACACACGTGACCGCGTGGCTGCCACGTTGTTGACGTGCTGTCACGTGGAAGCCACGTGAGTTTAAAATGAGTGCTTCCCTGGTCTTCATGATATATTAAAGAACGTTTCAAATTACTATCAGGGCCGTAGCCTGAGCAAACTGCCAGGGGGGGCAGTAAGCGGACACGAGGGGGCGAAGCCAAAAAGGGGGTGTGTGGGTGGGGGTGTCCCCCTCCCACGGTGTGGAAAATTTTTAAAACTGTATGTATAATACTGCATTCTGGTGCATTTTAACTGTTATTTATTGCTCAATCAGAAGTCAGAAATTGCGATTATTATTTTTTTTTTGCACCTCAAATCCCAGGGGGGGGGCAGCTGCCCCCCCTGCCCCCCCGGAGGCTACTGCCCTGACTATACCGTATGTACTTGGTATATGGCAGGGATGATTGCATCACCTTTCCATTTATGCTAAAACATTTGTCAGTTTCTACATTAAAATTCGGTGTATGCCTTGATTCCGTACGCAATCCATTTTATATTTTTTATAAATTTGTTTTTGGTGGTATTGGCCAGAGAGGTCAAGCAAGCAGATGTTTTTTTAAATTAAAATCTCCTTTATATCTTAATTTGCTAACTTCCGTATTTCCAGGAACGCTCTATACCTCGCCAGTTAGGGGTCCCGCTTTAGGCGGAACAGCCATCGAACTTTCTGGACCCTGTATCCAAATCACAAGCAATATTGTTTGTAAGATAGGAGGCGCTGTAGTACCTGGGTATTTCATCAGCGACCTTAAGGCTATGTGCTATACGCCACCTATGTTTGCCACCACGAGTTCAGTCAAATTTGAGGTGTCCATAGACGGTGGTACTACATACTCACATTCAGCAGAGTTTATACCAGGTATAGCCTCTTGAAACAGGTGACTCTTTGTCATTGATAATATGACTGTTATTAGAATGTTTCACAAAAGATCAAGCCACGTATTTTTCTACCATTTTTACTGTTAAAAAGATATGTGAAAAGAAATTGTAGATGAATGCAAAAAATTTACAGTAAAATCAACCATGTACTAAAGGCAATTTTGCTAATGTTTTATCAAAATAAAGAGAAAATTTGTGATTGCTTTAGCATTATATGAACATGTCATTTAATCAAAACTGTACATCCTGTTAAAAAATCTGGATAAGTCGTGAAAATTGTCAAAAAGAACAAAATAAATTTATATGATTTGTTTTAGATAGAAAAAGTCAAAGACTGGGTTGCCATGCCTAGATCGATCCATCTGGACCGGACTAACTCCCTGAGGAGTCTCACTTAATTGCTATCAACTTAAACGGCTTAAATGCCTGTCACACTTACCGAATGAGCTAGGGTAAAGATAATTACCCTCTAACAGCTTGAATAGGCATGGTAGACACTTAAACCGGTTAAGTTGATAGCAATTTAGTGAGACTCCCCAGGGAGATAGATCGCTCCAAATATCTGTGGGAATGGTCCCAAATTTGTCGTTAAGGTTCAAAGTGGCCACACTTTTGTCAAAATCCAGCGTAATGTAACAGATAATGTTAACTCAAAATTTTGTATCAATGAAACTATGTTCTCTAAAACCTTTTCTCACTTTTATTGCACACAGTTGTAAACACGTCAGCTACGCCGGATGTCGTCAGGGTAAGGGAGGATGCTTGGACCATGACTGGTACTTACGTCATACAGTGGCAGTCCGCCAGTTTGAGTTCATCACTGATAGATGTGGATATACTTGGTTTCAGGTATAACTGACCCTAAGATTGCTTTTAGATGAAACTTCTCTTTACAGTAATGGTAATCCATCAGGCATGTGTATATCAATAATTCATTTTTTGGTGTCAAATGGCAACACGAATAGCGTGTGTCAAAGTTAACAGTGCAATCTAAGGTGTATATTTGTAATCGTAATGCCATGGAGCTTCTAAAATGGTTTTTTGAAAACCTTTTTCATTTGCAATGACATTTTAACATATAAACACAATACATTTACCCTGTGCTGTCAAGCAATTCCTTTTTCTTTTTTGTCGTTGCCCCAACAGTATATCTGATAACATAGTAACCAACCATTGGATTCGTCTTGCTTCGGGTATTGCCAATTCCGGTCTCGTAGAGCTTGACAGTCTTCTTAATGCACGTGGCGAAGTGGCAGTAGACGCCGTAGGCTTTGGCGCAATTCGCTTGACGCCCTCTGGATCAGCAGTTGGTCAAAATCTGACGTAAGTCATGAGTTTCATAGTAAACATAGGTGAAAGGACCAGGTGGACATCAAGGTGTCAACATATTTAAAAGGTTAAAATATCGAGTAAATGTTAGTCAAGTGTGGTGAAATTAGTATACTTATAGGATTGTAATCTGATTTTTGTAAAAGGATTCTCTTTTGTACTGGATTGAAACAAAGTTAGGCAGGCAGAACGGCAGCTTATTACAGATCTGTTGCCAACTCGTTTTTGTTCACTGCAACGCTTGTATTTCCGTAGACTCGCCCTTCAAGAAATCGACGCCTTCAAGAAATCGACGAAAACCGGAAGTGCGTGTTTTTTGCACTATTTTTCCTGTCATGCCCATTGTAAACACTGTGTTGTCAAGTAAAATGAAGCGTCTGATACAAAGTATCAAACTCGGCATTCACGTGCTTGCTTGCGATGCGTTCAGCACACTTTGTTTACACTAACAAGTCGAGGTCAGAAATGCACAATGTTTTCTATGTAATTACGCAGTTTCAATTTTGATTAGTGAATTTTCTTTTATCTGCATGGTCATTTTCCGAACATTTGTATAAGCCACGAAATATTTCTCATCGGAAAATCACCCAGCAGCTTTCCAAGTACAAGCGAGTGACGCCATGACGCACTTCCGGTTTTCGTCGAGATCTTGAAGGGATTAGCGTTACGGTTTGCTGCATATTTAAAGCGTTCTGTCTCAAAATGTACTCAACTGCTTGGATTGAAATTTACAGAACTTATTCTTTACATGATATCACACATATGTGCTTAATTTGAGAGCTTTAGCTGTTATATGTTTTCTACAGTGCCCATTCAAATTTGAAAAAGAGCTATTTTCCGTCGATTTCTTGAAGGGCAAGTCTACATGTGTTTAACATTGTCATTTTTAGAAAACCTTGTTTATGGTCCGACGTCCACTACATGCTGTGGCTCCTCAATGCCTATATTGCTACAGAGTTGCGGAACGGCCAAGCATCAACCTCCACGACGAACGTCTTCACAAAGCTAAGGGACTCCGCTGTAAAAAACGGATCTTTCTTAAGGAACACATGGCAAGACACCAAAGACAAGGTGAAGGTTCATTACCAGTGGGTGAACGACGAGTTGTGTGACCACTGGTTTGAGGAAGACTCCTCGTGGACCTTGCACTCCGACCTTCCAGCGTGCCCTGTCGTGCTCCAGCAGGCGGTTAGAGATAGGGGGACGTTTGAAGAAGACCCAGACTGTAACTTAGACGCCCCTGGCGGATGCTATCTTCGCCCAGGGGCCGTGCACTGTGTGCAGTCTAATAGGTGCAGGTGAGAATCCAACCTCTCGTTGGTACTTTAAGTAAGGTTCGTCATATAAAACAAGGCTTTACACGAAGAAATGAGAGTCATTCAGCTGTTTTCTTTACCCAGCTGTAGTTCAATTGTATCAACAATGTTTAAGAAGAATAAAAATCAGAGACCTTCAAATCTTCGAGAGGTATTAATTACATAGACATAGACATACATGTAGTTAAAGCACATTAAGAAATACATGTATATCCAGATCCTGTTCAATTATTTTCATGAAGCCCGTCGGGAGGAGGACAAGAGTGCTGTTACGGCAGTGACGGAAACCTCCTCATACTAGCCGATAGCCAATATGGCGGTGGTTCACAAGACAGGGCACACAGGAAAGGGTGTCCGGAGGTAGAGGGCGTGGTCCCGTTGCTAAGCAACTTTTGGCACGACGAGCTCCCATATCAGTTCTGCTGTCACAGGTCTTCAGATAAAGAGGGCAAGTGCGTGGATAAGTTTGCCGCGAGGAGGCCATCTAATGACAGTGCAAATTACAACCCCCCACGGCCAGGCAAGTCATTCTTATATTATGTGTTCTACTGTAAAATGCAAATCTTTCAATCTGAAACGAAATTCTTAAAAAGCTGACGAAAGTTTTAACTGAATGAAAGCAAATTTTCAATAAATTTTACATTCTTTAACTATTGTTGAATTATACTATTATGACACAAACATTGAAACCCAAAATCTAAAGTTTTCAAGATTCGATCTAACATTTGAAGCCTGTCGGTTGAAACACCTGTTTCAAGAAATTTGTGCCTGCGTGCGTGCTTGCATTGGGACTCGCTAACCGAGTTTTTAGCCAGTCCAAATGAAATGAAACTTAAAATCAAAAGAGATGTTAAGTGTACTAGTAGAAAACCATATATCAAAGCTACAAGGTGTCTTAAAAACCCTTACCCGTAATACCCGTTTCTTTTTACATCAGTTGTATCCATCGGAGATCCCCACCTTATAACGCTGGACGGTCTGAACTACACGTTTAACGGGGTAGGGGAATACACCCTGGTCCAGACCACCCACGGGACTTTTACCATGCAGGGACGGGCAGAACAGATCAGGCATGTGAACGGTAAGTCATATATTGGCTGTGCCATCACAACACACGCACACAGCAGCCCATAGATCTGGCGCATATGACGTCACTAGAAACTGACCAATCGGAATTTTGTCTTTTGAATCCCCTTTTTCTCGTACACTATAAAACATTTTGTAAAATTTTGTCCTTGATTTATTGTATTTATATATTAAAGAAATCAGTTAACATGTTGTGATTTAAAAAGTAAGTCTTTAAAATTCAGGCCAATAAGACTGTTTTACCGTCATTAACCTGTTACATATAATGCTGATCCCAGTGAGTCAAAAAGTTGTCCCTTCCTCTGTTATCAAATTAACTTTTGTTCACATGAATATGAATACAATCTAATCTAAAACCAAGTAAGCTGCACGGTCATAAAGCAGCTTTCACTATCACTTCATATAGCCCATGGGTGCATAGACCTATAGCTCACTGATATAACTAATGCATCTTTTGGTTTTAAATAAGCGTATCCGAAAACGTGTTTATGTTTCTGCATTATACGGTCCTAACTAATTGAGGTATTTCTCATCAGATATTTTCTTGAAGTCCATGTGATTCTTTTATCAGGCTCCTTGTCCTCTGCCACGGGCTGGACCTCTGTGGCGTTGAGAGGGACCAATGAGACGGTTGAAGTGCGGTCGGTCTCTTCAGTGAGGGTGGATGTGTACGTAGCTGGCTTGAGGGTGGATTTTGACACCCTGGGGGACAGCCTGACTCTTTACGGCGGCAAGTAGACCTCATTACGACGGAAGCGTATGGCTGCCATTTTGTTTTTTAATTACATTTTGAGATTTCTGAAATTTCGAATTAGTAAGTCAAAATGTTGAGTTACTTACACAAACTTTTATGTTACCAGCTCGAAGTTTAAAAATAAAAAATAAATTGAGTTGCAACAGTACGCTTCCTTACACTGATCTATATGGTTGTAAATTATGCAGCGGTTTTTTAATAGGCTTTGGTTTTATATTATGATGCATTGTTTTAGCTACCAGTCTGCATGCTGTGTCATTAAGCCCACCAATCGGTTAATGTTAACCAGGATGTTCATCGGGAATATGGCGTTTATTTAATTTATTTACGTACCTTAACGGTGATTTATTTTATCGTTAACATCATCTTCTGCTCTGACGGGTATTTCGTGCCGTCATACATCTAGCTAATTTTTTTTTTTTTTTTTCATTTTATTGATTACTTGACTGCCTATTTTGAAAACAACCTTGAAAAAGAAAGTTAACTTGAACGAACGACCGTGCTGTCTTAAAAGTCTTCAGTTTCTTTTCACTTTTCAATGTAGGCCTAATATGAGCGATTTTCTTTAGGAATCAGCCTCGTTCGCAACCCAGCGACACAAGCCATTAATGTCAGCCTCGACCTGGACAATATATACGTCACATTCAGTCACGTGGCTGGATTATTAAATTTCATGCTGATGCTACCACATTCGTTAAGGAGTAAGTTTATAAACCTTTTATTTATTTTACTATTATTCAGCAAAGTACATGGAAGACTGTGTTTTTGATAAAATGTTGAACATTTTTTCACATACTGCAGTATATTGCAAAGCAAGTGACACACAAAATGCAACCTTTAAGAATACATCTTATCAAGAGATTTTAATTGAACCATAAGCTGTTGATTTGGAAGTTAAATTATTATATTTCATCTACTTGTATCTTTTGATATGTCTATTTATTTTCGTAGTCCCCATTTTTTTGTGTCATTCTTTAGATTACTATATATATATATATATATATATATATATATATATATTTGCTTTATAAGCATTAACAAGAGGACTGTTAGGAGTTTGGAACGGAAATATAGCAGACGACTTCACCACTTCCAATGGGGTTCAAATACCAGTGACATCGTCTCTCCAAGACATTCATTATAACTTTGGAGAAACATGTAAGCGGCACAGTAGTGTTTATTTGTTAAAATATTTAGCGAACTATTTCAAATAAATCATTTGTGTGAAAATTCCTGAACTCTTATCATGTGAACCATTTCACTGTTATTGATTCATTTAACGATCTGAGTTTGAAAAGTGTAAAAGTAGGTCTAGCAGTTGTTCAAAAACTGTTCAGTTTACCCGGTGGCACACATTACAATGTACCTATTCTAAAAATGTAGATCTCTAAGACTGACTAAAATCAGCATTTACTAGTACTTCACTTTCACTTTTATGTGTTCGTCATATTGTTACATTGGCTTCTGTTCGCGTACAATGTTGCAATTGCTGCATAATGTATGTCAGTCTTCAAAGGAGATATATATGGTTACATTAAATTACACAGTTCAACCTACTTTTCCAGGGAGAACCAGTTCTTCTGGTTCCTTATTTACCTACGACCCGGGGCAGAGTCACACTTCCTACCAAAATCCCGCGTTTGTTCCCACGTTTGTCATTTCACTGGACTCCGTCAACGTTACTGAGGTGACGCTTCTGTGTGGAGACCATAACCAGTGTATCTTTGATTACGTCACCACCGGAAGTGCCGCCATTGCTGTTGCTACGAAAAGAATAGCAGATGATTATCAAACAGCTGTTGCCGATACTCAAACTGGTAAAAAAGTTAAATATTATCCATACTCAATACACTTTATGGTTTATATAATATTACTATACATAAACACAACCGCAATAGTCTAAGAAAAGTAGACCTAACATCTAAACCGTGGATTACTTCATAAACACGATTGTTGAATTTTTTAGTAATAACGAAAGGTAGGTGACACACGAAGTAAAAGAAAATAGCTGGAAAATAGATATGGATGTACAAGTATAAAAAAAAATTGGAGGAAATGGAAAAATTTGAGTCTGATATTGACATTAAGTTAAAGTTTTTAAAGCACAATAAAAATCGACTTTATGGCAATAGGTAGCCTATATATGTGGTAGGCCTATTGGCGTTAATGTAAGAGTTGAACAAAGCAACACTTTCTTATCATACGTGTGATGAAAGCGATTGCGTACCTTCTAGTTTCATTTTGTCTTTGTTTTTCAGTTGTAGCCTGTGGCCGGCTCGGTGCACCAGATAACGGTCAGAGAAATTTGACGGACACTAATTATCTTGAAGGCGTCACCATTGAGTTCTCATGCAATGAAGGATACAGTCTCGAGGGATCCGCAAATCGCACGTGTTTATCTTCGTCACAATGGAGCGGGCAACCTGTGAATTGCATTGCCGGTATGGGTTCCACATCTGCCACCATAACTACTGTAGAAAATCATTGTACACAGTGAAAAAAAATTACATGGTATTTGGAGAATTTATAAAATCCGAAAAGGTCGAGTTTCTGTTAACTGAAGAGATCTATTCACTTGAGGTTATAAAGATTTTAAAAACATCATTCTTGTCTCCATCTTGCATTTCATTAGAATCTTGTTTAACCTTAATTGCTTCATATAGATTTGAAAAAATCCTACATTTCTTCTTTTTTCTGCCAGAGATATTATACAGCTGGTTGTAATTATTATAAAATGCTCTGTCACAGAAATCCAAATATGGTTAAGAAAAAAAAACACAGAAAGAAGTAATTATTATTTTTTAATTTTTTTCTTTACCTTTGTTTCAGATTTTATACTGTTCCCAGTCGTATTCATATTAGGTGTATCGGGGGCCGGGATCCCGGTGGTCGTGTTAGTGATGATAATCGTGCGCACGGTAAAGCGTGGGGGCGCAGACCACACAGAGAAGAACCAGGTACAACCGGAACCGGAAACGAAAGAGATCGAGGTCGTCAAAACTGTCAGTGAAGACGACATGGTTCGCAAGGGATATCAGTGGGGTTCTCAAGAGTTTTGACCTTTATGGTTTATGGCTGAGTTTGACCAGCAGATATGATTCAGGCCTGCGTATAAAGGGGACACTAAATCTGAAAATTTTGGCCTTTTGTCGCCTCACCTTACTAGACTGGCATTGAAATAATGGGATACGTTGTAAAATTGTTTTATAATTTGATCCCCGTGAATACACAAATGAGGCAAGTCTGTGAAACGTGATAGTAGTGGTGCTAGATGGACATAATGACAACAATAACTGCATCATCTTAAGCCATATGGACACTTGCATTGTTAGAACGGTTATATGTAAATATGTTTAGATATACGCTACTCCAAAGAGAACACGTGTGTTAAGTCCGTGCTACACATTTGTCTTTGTCAAACTGAGAGAAATGCAGTTATAGATTTATGAATATATCTTAATTTGGATTATAGTTTGATAGTGCATGATCAAATCAATGTACTAGGTTATTTTAAGAAATAAATATTTTTTTTATTTTACTTCATCTGTCTGAAGGGTACATGTACGTCTTGCTGTAAAAACGTCATTGGAGTACCCCTATGCTTGCCAACTAATACTTTTACAAAAAAGCCCTTTTTACGATGAGCTTTTGTCTTTCTGTCTTTGCTCAAAACCTGTAACAAACGGAGACAGCGTTTTTAGGGCATATATCACCAAATTTTATTTATTCAAAATAATAGATCAGCCGAATTAAAACAGGTACATGTATAATATAATGTTATAGACGAAATAAATAACGTTGGCATCGCCTTTAATGTGTTATTAATGCATCCGTGTGCAATGGCTATATTTTATAAGAAGTAAGAGAAAACACCGGTAAAGTTCACGCAGTTTCAACTAGATCCAGTACAACAATATTATTGCTGTATAACATTTTTTAATGCAACTGCATATTTTGATACCATATCAACAATTATAAAATCCTCTTTTTACGACCGGCTTTTCTGCTTCACATACAGAAATAGATTGACATGTTTTTATGTTTTTTTTTAATAAAGCCCCATCGAGAGAAACCATATTGATTCTTTCACCAGATAACCCTACGCTGGAGCCAACACCTTTTGTGTTTTTTTGAGCAGACTCAAAAAGACCTGAATACCTTGGCGTTCCATTTACGTATTGATCGGGTCAGACTTTTATTGTCAAAAGGTAGTCAAAACGAGGCTGACTACTCTTCTTGGAATCGTACAGAGGGATCCGAAATGCATTTTATTTTTATTTCAGTTGGCCTATTATTTATTATTCCATGCATTAACTTTACCTTGTTCGTTTTATTTATTTAGCACCCTTTTAGTAAAATATCACTGCTGTGCTTTTTGTGTTTTGAAAGAAATGCGAATACTTTTCACAGATCGTTAATCATCCAGGTACAATACGAAGTTATGATGTTTTTAGTCACCCGATATTACGTCAATGACGAAGACGACATACGATAGAATTATAGGATTAAGCAGGTTGTTGCCAGGGAAAATGGAGATAGTATGTAAACATTGTTAATGTATTGTAATGCTCTCTTTTGCGATGAGGCACCTGCAGTATACCATCGTGATTTTTCTTCTTTTTTACTGGAGACGGAGTTTAACATCTGCACAAACAACTAACATTCTTTACCCGTATGGCACAAATAACGGAGACGCCACCGCCCCGGTGAATGATGACGGCAGCACGTCCGCCATTACGCTCTCTACAGGTTTTCCATACTTTGACCAACTTCACACCAGACTTTATGTAAGTTTAACATTTTATCATTTCTTTGGTAAGAGAAACCTAGGTGCACGGTGATTTTTTTCTCTTCTTTTTGTCACTTTTGTTTCATGATATACACGTGTATATAAACAGATTAATGCACTTTCGACCTTAAAAGTGAACAAAGTAAAACTAACTGCGAACAGTTTTATTGTAGATACTTATAGATTTTATTGTACATAAAAAACGAATTGGGTATGAATAGTGTGTGTGTGTGTGTGTGTGTGTGTGTGTGTGTTGAAGTTCTTTACTCCTAGTAGGTAAGTGGGAAGATGAAATCGGTAAGGGGATTTATTCTGAACCTAGCGCTGACCTGATTTCTTATGGAAAGAGACACCGCACCCAAGATAAGAAACAAGAAAATGCATTACAACTACAGATATTGAAAGGAAATATCTGATGACAAAATGTTAAAGTAGGGGACATTTTGCTATTTTATTTTTATAATTATATTTTAGGCAGGAGCATGCTATATATTGTGTGGTATATATGTTAACACAGTTGAAATTTTTCTTTATTAAGACTAAAAAAAACAATCCATTCATAGCTCAAGCGTGAAATTATGACTGTGTCACCTATTTATCAATTTAATTAATTTGTTTATTTATTTGATTTCCTGCAGGTTTTGATTCTTTTCGCTAAATGGTAAACAAGTCATTCAGGCCTCAGATGTTTATCATTTTCTACAGTGTTTTCACTTTATTAATAAGGCTGGCCTCTTATTTAATTTTTGCAGCATTTATTGACCTGATACGCTGGCCAGTTAAATCTTTTTTAATCAATTTCCCAGATTTTCGACAGGTTCAGTGTGTGCTGCTCCAAGATTTTTTTAAAAATATTCATGTGAGTGTGAGAACAGGGATGGCTTACGAGTATCATTTATTACATCCCTGCTCTACAACGTTTCTTTGTGTTGTTTCCGTTCCTGGTGTAATGGGCGAATGTTTTCAGTCGGTTATCTATCTGTCTATATTTATAGTGTATCTTTCTCATTATTTGTTTTTTTTTATTTTCTCTCTTATTGCTTCATCCGTTTGTCTGCCCATTTATTACATATTTATCGTTTATTTCATTTTAAATTTCTATATCCTCATCTATTGAATGATTGATGTACATATAAATTTATGTATTTATTCCTCCATTCATCTATTTTTGTTTTGTATTTGTTTTAATCTGTCGGTTTATTTATTTTATTCATTTATTTATTTATTTATTCATGTTATTGTTTGTTTGTTTATCCATCACCATAAGGTCAATACCAATGGCGCCTTGTCATTCCTGGGCACCGTCTCTACGTATACACCGCAAGCCTTCCCGTTGGATTCCAATCGGAGGCTCATCGCCCCCTTCTGGGCAGACGTGGACACGACAGAAAACCACGGAAGAGTCTTCTACCGGCAGACGACAGATTTGTCCATACTTAACAGAGCTACGAGTGACATTAGAGCGGCGTTCGTGTCACAGTCCAAGTTCACGGCTTCCTGGGCCTTCGTCTGCACCTATGATGACGTCACCTACTTTGGTGGGAGCTCCATCACTAACGTCAGTATTTATGTTTATATTATTTTAATAATATATTTATAAAATAAAAAAGGATTAATTTACAGATAGAAAGACAGACAGACAGTCCCCGAATAGAATCCACATTAACAAAGCAACAAATTGTCGAGTTGCGAAAATATGCATGGTCGTGTTTCTTTCAACAATTTTCACAGTATTTTTCCATAGGCAGAAACAAGAGTATATTGCAAGACCTTTCTTTTTATTATTCAAAAGATATTGCAGATTTTGCTCACGATCTAGTCTAATACCAAAATGAAAATGAGAAATGGCTGATCCCTGACCCACATATTTCTACTTTTTCACACTTTGGTGTTTTCAGACAAACACATTCCAAGTGGTTTTGGTCACCAATGGCCGCCACTCGTTTGCCATATTTAACTACAAGGAAGTGACTTGGACCACGGGGACAGCGAGTGGTGGCAGCGGTGGGCTGGGAGGAACGCCGGCACAGGTGGGTGGAGCATCGATTGATATTTATTAATGTTATTAAATAGAAAAAAAACAATGATTATAACGATGGTAAACAAATGTGATTGATTCGGCCGTTTGTAAACATAAAATAAAATGTACAAACACAAGTACGTATAATTGGAAATAAATGCTGTCCCCAAAGAAAAAAAATAAAAAGAAAGTTTCCACAATAAACAGAATATGGGCCATCGATTAATCGATTAAAGGGCAATACATAAAAAATAATGATTACAAGAATTAAAATATTATTATTATTATTATTAAGTATAGAAGCAATTTCTGACCACAGGGATAGCTAGTAATTTCTAACAAAATTATTGAATTGATCATTCAATATTGTATAACATACTAGAGACCCCTGCGACAAGAGAGTACATGTAGTCCTGGCGCTTCTATAAGTTAAAATTTGCGTTTTGTGCCTAGTTGTGATGTTCTTCAAATAGAGGCTTAATCATTTTTTTCAGGTCGGTTTCAATGCAGGTGATGGTCTTCGGTATTTCTCAGTGCCTGGATCAAGGACGTCCGCTATCGTCGACGTAGAGACCACCACCAACGTCAACGTTCCCGGACGGTGGATATTCCGAGTAGACGACATCGGTGTTGAAGCCGGTGGCTGCAATATGGGGGGTAAGTGTCACTAACAGGAGGCTGGTAGTTTATCTTTTTTAAATTGCTTTTCATGTTGCGTCTGTTTATTGATTAATTTTAGTCCAGGATACATGTAGACAGGCCATTTAGGGGGTGCACCTGGACAAAATTGCAACAGAATTCATTTTTCCACCATACAGGTCCCCATGCATACTAAAGTTAAACAAAACCACTGCATGGGGAACATGAAAAATCCAAAATGGTCGCCAATTACGCCTTTTTTATTTTAACTGGGCTATTTTGTAATCACATTTTTAGTTGAGCTACAGATCTCCCCTGTCACAGGAAACGCGTTGGGAGGTACAGAGATTCTCGTCTCTGGCCCTTGCTTTCTCCCTACGGATCAGTTTTTGTGCAAGTTTGATGACATTGTCGTCCCGGGTCACTTTGTCAACACACTGAGGATGGCCTGCTATTCGCCGCCATTGTTTAAGGCGGGAAAATCGGAGGTGTTATTGCAAGTGTCCCAAAATGGAGGGCAAAATTTTACCGAAGGCAGCGCGTTTGTTCCAGGTAAGGGGTGTTTTTGGCTTTATTGACATGAAAATAAGAGTGTCTTTGCAGAATGCTACCGCATGGTCAGGCAGAAAATGGTGACAATGAATAGTTAATAAAATGCGCAAATAATGGTGAAAAGCAACTTGTTGCGATAACCACTTTTTACATTTCGTTATGTTATGGCTCTGAGGTTAAGTATACAATATATATATATATAAAAGGGCCAAAACATAGTTAGGTTAAACCACAAATATATATATATAACCTAACCATTGGTTTAAATGTGCAATATTACAGCACAGTGCAAAATTGATCAAATTTGAACAAACTTGTACATGCTGTAGGGAGCTCAAGCAAGAGATCTGTGTTAAATGTGGTGTATTATATTATTTTTCGAGATATGGATGCGATAGATGACCCTAAAATTGTGAGAGTTGATGAGGAAAAGTGGGACGACAAAGGACCATATGTTATCCAATGGGACCCAGGGGATCTTGTAGCGTCGACTTTGGACTTGGACCTGCTTACTTTCAGGTTTATTTATTTATTCATTTATTTATTTATTATGATATTCATACAGAAATTCGTAAACAAATGAGATTCAAAATAACCGCATATTTTATTATATTGGGGAACTGGGTCTCATTAAACATGAACGTGAAATTTGGCTGCTACGAAATTTTCATTATGAAAATCGATTTCGCCTGTTTTCTTTTAATATATAGTTCAAAGTTTTCCTTGTCCATATATTATTCTTTAGAAATGACAATTTATTAGCATAAATGTTTTGAGCTTGAATACCTTTTAACACGCTTTCAGCATAATGTTGGAATTATGAAATGTGTTTGTCTTAAATTAAAAAAAATAAAATAATAATATTTCAGTGATGAAAGTCTGGGGCTTCGTGAAAAATGGATCAATATTGCCACAAATATAGCGAACAATGGTACTGAAGACTTAGACGACCTCCTCAACACAAATGGAAACTTTGGTGATATAGCGACATTCGGAGCTATTCGGTTAACTCCGGCAGGTTCCGCTTCAGGGCCCAACTACACGTAGGTTGCATGGTTTATCAAATTTATTTTCAAAATGTAGTATAATACAGAATCTACAGCGCGTATTTAACTGCTCTCTTTCTCTCTCTCTCTCTCTCTCTCTAGAAAAAGGTGTTTGGTTTCACCTTACGTGCACTTATATAAATTCTTGTTCTTATATCTAACAGAAAGACTCTAAGAGCTATAATAACTGACCTTTCATACATATTTCTCTTTACACAAAACAGGACAGCTGCCATATGGTCTGATATCCATGTACTGCAGTGGTACATAAATGCCTACATAGCAACCAAAATAAAGCAAGATCCACAGAACCAGCGTAAAAGAAGCATCATCGAAGGTCTAGCAGCAGCCGTGGACGAAATAAGATTCAACACAAAACAAATAGCGCAAAAAACATGGACAGCCATCAAAGGCGAAGTGAAGGAGAAGTTCAGAGATGTGAACAAACAGATGTGTCAGGCTTGGTTCGACAGTGATTCCAAACAGCCGTTGCCCACAGATCTTCCGCCATGCCCTGTTAGGCTTCGCCAGGCCATAAGAGACCGCGGTACCTTCTCCGAGGACCCCGCTTGTAGGATGGGGTACCCAAATAGCTGTGGCTTTCATCCTGGGGCGTCACATTGTGTTCGTTCAAATGTCTGTAGGTATGGATTGCTTTGTTTTGTAGCGGTTCTTTTCTGTCCTACCCTGTATCAAGAGGCGTGTTCCCCAGCACTCCTCACCGTGCTGTTGCGCTCGAACAATAGGCAAACTATGTATGTAGAGTGCGGTGTTTTACGGATGCAAACATTGTGCCCTGAACACCTTTAATTGTTCAGCTAGTGTTTTTATGATCTCTGCTCAATTAAGAAATGTCTACATAAAATGTACATCTAGCCCTATTAGTAATATCTTTTTTGTCTCTTCACATTATATTTTTTGAGAGAACAGTTTCATTAGCTCTGTATGTATCAATTTAAATTATTATTTTCTTTTTATCAAGAGCTTATAAAATATGTGGGTATTACCTCCAATATTTCTGTGACTGTCAAACACCATCATCAGGGAGTAAAGAACAGGGTCATTTCACCTGGAATGAAAATCCATTTATTATATTTTTTATTTTTTAAAATACTAAGTCCCTCTGGCGCCGGTCAGCAATGCTGCTACAGTAGACGAGGATCTTTGCTCAACGTCGCCGATGGTCAGCTTGGCGGTGGTACACTGGACAGAGCCCACTACAAGGGCTGTTTGAACTTGGACCAGGGGACGGTGGTCATACCGTACCTTGACCATTTTTTACAAGACGTCCTGCCGTATTATCACTGTTGCAAGTACTTGGGAGATGAACAGCTGTGTCAGGACACGTACATGGAGAGACGACCCTCTGATGATGGGAGTAGATACCGCCCACCAAGACCAGGTGCGTGTAAAACAATATACACCAAATATTACACACTCCAATTTAGATTTTCTCTTTATATTTGGTATCATACGTAAACGCATGTATTTAGTGCCAAGAATTCCAAATGCTTATGATGATGTAGACCATGTAAAATCTTTATACTAACCTTTCTTAAATCAGTTTATTAATTAATTCAGTGAGTCACAAATTTATGCAGTGAATCGTTCTTAGGTTCGGTCGTTATCCTTTTTATTTCAATATTTTTTTTCTAAATCATCACCTCTAGGTAGGGCATAAATAAAAATATGCTTGAAACACGTATTAGGGTAAATCTGTACAGTGTAGGCACAAGAATTAGTAAACTGAGCTACGTTCTAGTAGATAAACAACCTTAGGTCTAAGTTTGAGACCTAATTTCCAGCTGTCGGTAACGGAGACCCCCACATCATCACGTTGGACGGTTTGCGGTACACGTTTAATGGAGCTGGTGAATACACCCTTGTGAAGACGAACGATGATTCCTTTACCATGCAGGGCAGAGCGGAGACAGTACAAAATGCCGGCGGTAGGGGAATGTTTGAATACGATATGTTTGTAGTTGTCATTTGATTGAGGAGGAAATAACTGTGGGGACTGTGAGCCAAAATCCCCAGGATGAAAATTGTTATTAACGAAGTAAATTATCATTGTAGTTGCCATTTGTTTGATGACGAAACAAGTGAGGGAAATTGGCATTAATTTTCAACAGTAAAACCCCATGATAGTGAAATCCCTAGGATTTATTTTTTAGAAATACTTTTCTTATCGGAAAAGCAATGTCTGACAGGCATCCGTCCCACAGTTTAACATTCAATAAGGCATGATTTCCTTATTATTCATAGGTGGTAGTCCCATCGCCACTGGGTGGACTGCTTTTGCGTTCAAAGGGTCAAACAGCAGCACGGTGGAAGTCAGGACCAGCTTGCTGAGAGTAATCGACGTGTTAGTTGGCGGAGTCAGAATAGATTTTGATGAACTTGGAGACAGGGTGACAAATTACCCGGGTAAAGATGAGTCGACTTAATATATCGTTCAACGAGAGGCGCCTTTCACTAAGTACCATCTCTCTCCCTCTATCTCTCGCTCTTGTTATTTAAAATAATTCGGACTTGATGTCAACTTATTTTTTTAAATTACCTTTTTTCACATACATACCGTACAATGTCATTTATCTTTAAATTCTTATTGGTCAAGTATGTTGCATAGGTACGTTGTACATGGATATATATTTGTACATGTGTAGAAGGATATAAATAAATTTTGCTTATTGACGTTTATTTTATTGGGAGAGGGGGATCGTTAAACACGACGAGGTGGAGTTTATATATTACAAATTAGTTATCAATTATCCTATCTTATTTCAGGTCTTACTATTGAACGAAACATGAACACGTCTGTCACCGAAGTGGACCTTAACAATGATGGCGTCTCCCTCACTGTGACACATGTAGCGGGGATTTTTAATTTTATGCTGCTCCTACCTGAGTCTATGAAGCGTATGTTTGGTTTAAATCATTATAATTGTTTCCTATTTTCAAAATCAGTCCATGATGCACGGAGAACTCAATGCAGCCCTAATGACAAGTTCAAAAATCCTTCAAAACATGTTGCCGTTCAAAGCCAGGTTCTTTTAGGAAGTATCTGAAGCTTGTTTTGTCACGTGTCATTTTGCTATTCAAATAATCATAATATTGTCATATTCCTAAAAAGATCGCTTTTTTGATTCCACATCTAACAAAATTAATATGAATGACTGTTTTTTTCTTTTCTTTTTTTTTTTTTTTTGTTTTGTTTTGTTTTTGTTTTTTTCAATACAGATAAGACAGAGGGGCTATTGGGTTCCTGGAATGACAATTCAGAAGATGATCTGGTGGCGTCCTCTGGCGTCATGTTACAACACAATTCGAGTACCAGGATTATTCATTACAACTTTGGAGAAACATGTAAGTTGAGTTTTGTATGTTATAGTTAAAAAGAACGAATGAAATAATGGGGTATTGTTTATGTACAGTGCAGGAATCCAGCATACCAAAGTGTCATATAAGATTCGTTAAATTTTATGCACCAATGTGAAAAAAACTTATGGAGGCACACTCAGAAGACTTTTTGATTTTCCAAATATTTTCATATCATCTTACAAAGGTACTTGTTTTCAAACTACAGGTACCATTTTGGGTTTCATTTCTTGATTGGCACAGTATTCATGAAACAAAAATTGTTATAATGCATGCATTTCCTTTAGGGAGAACCACTTCTGCAACTTCCTTGTTTACATACGATGTTGGCACAAGTCATTCTACGTACCAGAATACCGGTTTTGTGCCCTTATTCGAGGTCTCATTAGCGTCAGCAAACACCACCGAACTCTTTCTTATCTGTGGAGACAACGACCAATGTATTTTTGACTACGTCTCAACCGGAAACACCGACATTGCCCAGGCGACCAAGAGTAGTGTTGAGGACTATGATACAGCTGTCACTGACACGGAACCAGGTATGCAGTAATTATGCTGTATTTTAACTGCCTTGGTTAACAGTTTGTAAATATATGAATTCACTTGACGTTCATTGGTATCTGTGGGAAAATTTAAAGCAAAAAAAAACTGAATGTTATCAGTTTTGTACTAAGAATACACAAACTGTGGATTTAAAATTCCTTTCCCTCAGGAAAAAAATTCATCACTCAAAACTAAACATAAAACCAATGAGCAAAATGATATTTTGTCTACCAAAATTTTTTCAGAGCACCGTGGCTCGAAAACCTAAGTATGATATTTTGTCTGACCTTAAATATAAATATTCAAATTCCCAACATGTTGTCTGTATATGTATGAAATACTGACCGTTATATTGTCTGCCAGTTGTGTTATGTCCACGACTTGAGACGCCGCCCAATGGTCAGAAGAATGTGACCAGTGGTTACACGGTCGGAGCTGAAGTGACCTTTGCCTGCGACAACGGCTATAATTTACAAGGGTCAGCCAGTAGAACATGCCTGTCCAGCGGGCGGTGGAACGGCGAGAACAGCTCATGTCAGTATGATGGTAAGTCAATATACTAGTTTGATAGACGTTGCCCTTGGATTTTTGGTTACATTTCTGCAATTACATCCTTGAAAATGTATTGTTTGACGTTTATGGAAATCGAGAAATACGGCGATTTTTTTACATGCTATTTGTCTTTCTTTATAAACTCATTTTCTGTCACCTTTCGTAGGTTGTTCTTCACAAAATGGAGGCGGGAATGGAACTGACGTCACTTGCCAAGAGACAGGTACGGAAAGCGTTTGAATTACACATGTACACATGTAAACAAGAACATGCATGCACTTTCACACACACACACACACACACACACACAGACATACACCAATTTGGATATTTTGCTTTATTTATAGAATCATTTATCTGCATCACACTTTTCTTTTTTTTCCGAAAGAAATACTAGTAGATCTATAGTATAAAAAATCTTATGTACCCATATTAAAAAAGACTTCCCTAGTTTTATTTCTTTTAGCTAACCATAACACTTACACTATTTCAGGGCTCGGCTTAGACGTGATAATTCCCATCGCGGTTGCGGCAGCAGCTTGTTTGGTGATCATCATAACTGTCATAACCTGCGTGGCAGTAAAGTCCAGTGGTAAGAGCCATACGACGGTTATGCCATCACCGCCCCCCTCCCCCATGCCACCTGCCAGTAATATCCCAGCATACAGCGCGCCCGGATACTACATGAATGACCTGTATGTAACGGAGATAGACAGCTAGGGGACTCTACCAGAAAGGGGGGGGGGTTACCCAGAATGCCGTTGTTCCCAAACCAGAAGAATGTCTTCAGTGTGTTATCGGTGTTCCTTATTAATTTTCTTCCGTCAAGTCTGGGAGGTACGAGTATATATATATATAGGTTGGTTGCTCAGTTCTCCAGAAGATGGCGACATTATATCCAAAGAACAGTTATCCCTAAATGCAGACTCAAGGGGAAACTGAATATTCTCCTGAATACTTTTATTCGTCGATCTGATTTTTATTCTACGATTGACAGAGTTAAATGAACTGACTTTTTTTCTAGTCTGATGTTAATTCATCTCAAGGAGCAGATGTTTGTAAAGTTTATATAATGTACTGTCGTGTAAGTAGTTTTTTAGTAGGAAGGCTAAGGAGTCTTTGTGATATTCACTCAAATCTCAAGAATGGAGAATAATAATACTATATCGGGTTCAGTGTAAATGTAAAGTATACATGTTTATGCCATGCCTTGTTTTCGGTTTGAAATGGGTAACTTAATATTAACGCAACACTTGAATAGCAAGTTTGTTACAACTTAAATTGTACACGTATGTACGCTTTCTAACATAATGCTGTGTCATTGTCATCACACCAGTAATTTGATATCAATATGGAAATTAGCGTGTGGCACGAAATGATTGACGAATATTTACTTCCTGGATATTTCTCTGTGCCAAACCAGCTGAGTATAATCTAGACGAAATAATTCCGTCCTGAAAGTACAATATAAAACCCTATTTGTGTTTTACACTTTTTTCAAACGCGGTATATCATGTTTGCTTTATTGTGTTTTGCTGGATATCTTTAATGATTAGCAGAAAATATGTTAATTCATTTAAATTTATACGATTGGTGTTTATATTTTTATAGTTACTTTTAAGTTACAGAACCGGTTAAGTCCATTTTGCAGTGAGGTGATTTTAATTTTTATGTGTTATATTTGTTTTTAATAAACTGACTTTTGCAGGTATTTGCGATATGTTATTTAATCCATTGGCATGTACATCAGCTTTTAACGTCTTCTCACAGTTATTCGTCATATTCATATTAAACCACTCATAAACGACTGAAACAATTAATTTAAAGAAGCTTTCATGTTGGGTATTTAAAACAAATCCTTGCGTTTTTTTCTTTATGTTCTGCATGTTTATTTTCTATTTCTTGTTATTTCGATGCTGCTTATTGAAGAAAAAATCATAAACTACCAACGTTTCAACACAGTTTATTACACAAAGTCGATGCTTTTTTAACATTATATGATATCACATTAGGAATTCACTTTCTCTTTAGACTCAAAAGAATCTTTCTTACATATATGAGGTTACGTGTATGCCCATGTCATTTGGTCTTGTCTAATTCATTAAAAGCATCTAACACAACAAGGGCTTTTATAAAAGATGTAGTTATTAAGATTTGATACCATTTACCAGGACGACAGATTGATTTTCCACAGATATTCACAGATATGTCTCTAGATAAATAGACAGTCATTTTGGTATGAAGTCAAAAATGTCCACAATAATAACTGCGGCCCTGGTAGAGTGTAGTCATTTGGTAATTCTGATAGAAAACTAAAACTGAAACTGAAACTGCGTCTTATAAACCTCGTATTATAATTAACTCGCAATATTTACGTGAAGAATACTATGAATTAAAGATATTAATCAATCAAAGACAAAAAATTACACTTATGAAAATTTCGTAATTTATAACGTTATGCATAGAATTCTTAAATTCCAAATATTAGTTAAGAAAATTCATAGATGGTTAATACTGATATTAAACTTTTCACTTTCTACACAAAATTGAGGGTAAACCTCACAAAGCATTCACCCACACTATGGCCTCCCTCCGCGTGTGTTTTGATGAGACTGAGAAATATTCACCAATGCACCAGTTATGGTATCAGTCTCATCATAACATGTATCGTTGCGATAGCAAATGCGTTGCGATAGCAAGTGGGCATAGGTATTACACTCGCAAATAGCGATCGATCGCAATGTGTGCGTGCGGTCGCAAACAGCGATGCTCGTGAGATAGTGATCACTAAATGCCTTGGTGTGCCATATACCAAATAATGCACTGCCCACGATCCTGATATGCACGACAGCATGCCGATAAACTACTCAGCAGACAAGCCAGTCCCTTCAAAATATGTCAAGGACCAGAGGCCTTCCTAATGGTTAGAAGTGTAGCAATTTAGGGGGAGAAAACACCAGGCACGACCGGGATTCGAACCCGGTGTAACGTGAAAATCTAACTCCCATGAAAATCTGACTCCCCCAGTCAAAATTTCATAATGAAAATCTGACTCCCCCCATGGAATTTGACTCACCCTCACAAATTTTTTAAATTTTATTTGAGTATATAACTTTTGTCTTGTAGTATGCATAATGGAGGATACATAGGCACTTTTTGTTAGTTTGCAGGTGAATTTTTTCATAAGAGAATTAAAAATGTGTATTTTTCCACCCAATGACTCCTGTGAAAAGGCTATGGGAGTCCAAATCCTACAGGTAGTAAGATGAAAAGTTGTTTTAAAAATTATTAATTTTCACCAAAATTTTCATTTTCAACACTAAACTTTCAAATACTGACAATATATATGTCAACATTAAAGCAAAGGTATGGTGACTAAATATAAAATATGACCTTTTCTTCATGGGACTCCAATTCCCATGGGTATAAATATGAAGATTCTTCATGTTTTTTTTTTTTTTATTTTTGCACCCAATATTTTACCACCAAACTTCCAAATATTTCCAATATATTTTGCATTAAGTATAATGGGGAAAGATGTTGAAATGATCACCAAATATCAAATAAATAGCTTCTTCATAAGCACACTTTAAATTTTCTTATTTTCTCATTAAAATTCTCACCTGCAAACTAACAAAAAGTGCCAATGTATCCTACATTATGCATACTACACTATAAAAGTCATATACTCAAATAAAAAAAGATTTATAAATTTCTGTGGGGGAGTCAATATTTCATGGGGGGAGTCACATTTTCATAATAAAAATTTGACTTGGGAGTCACATTTTAGGGGAGTCACATTTTCATGGTACACCGGGACTCTCGAAAACCATGCGACTGCTCTAACCAACTGAGCTACCGAGCCCGGACCAACCACGGCCAGCAACTACAGTAGTTATAAATTGTTCCGAAATGAAAGAGACGACTTACAAAAAAATTGGTACAAATAAGCGTGGTTAGCCGTCTCCAATATTTATAATTTAGGATATTTAAACACAATCTATAAACATAAATATTAATTACACTCGCAAATATAAAAATGGTTTGAAACAATATTGAGGCAGTCCTTATCATTGCGCAGATATCAGCCACTAATGATTAGGTAAATACTGGTAGGTCAGATTGTTTTGTTGTCTAACATTAGATCATTGTTGAATGAATCAGTGGTCAAAAACGAGGCTGTGTGGTCTTCTTGGAATTGTACAGAGGGATCCGAAATGTTTTTTATTTTTCTAAACTTATTCATTCATTTGGGCTCTCATTATTCCCAGCATTAACTTTACTTTGCTCGTTTTATTCACTTAGCAACTTTTGAGAACACACCTCTGCCCTTTGCATTTTGAAAGAATTGTTAACATTTTTTTACACATCGTTAATCACCCAAGTACAATACGGTACAATAAGTTACGGTATTTTTAGGCACCTGATTTACAGTCAATGTCAAAAACGAGAAGCGGTGTGGTTGTAGGATTACACAGGCTGTGGGTAGAGATAATGGAGACCTGGCACCTGAAACATACCATAGTGATTTTCCTTCTTTTACACCTGAAACGGAGTTTGACATCCGCACAAACAGAAGGTATCCTTTACCCGCATGGCACAAATACCGGAGACGTCACCGCCCCGGTGAATGATGACGGCAGCACGTCCGCCATTTCGCTGTCCATAGGGTTTCCATACTTTGATCAACTTCACACCAGCCTTTATGTAAGTTGAATGTTTTATCATCTCTGCAAGAATATTTATTTAGCAGCACTGTGATTTTTATTTCTATTTTAGCGTTTATATTCCATGATGTCCCTTAGTAAAATATCAGTCCTGCTGCAAATTCACAGCAAGTTTGCAGCAAATTTTCTGCAAAATGGCTGCAAATTAGCAGGATAACTTTTTTTCTTGCAAACTCCTGCAAACGTTTAGTTTGCAGCAATATTGCTGCTATATTGCTGCAATATTGCTGCAAGCTTTTAGTTGAAACCTGTCTTGGGCAGAGGTTCACGTTGTATATTGTTGTTTCAACGCATGCCAGTGAAGGCCCATTTAGAGTAAAAGGAAAACCGCATGCGTGGTTTTTGGATGAAATTGTCATCGACTGGAGTTGGAAAAAGCGAATGGAGTATCACTAAAATGCCGAGTCAGACCAAGGACTTATAAGTAGCTTTTTACTCGACAGAATTAAACTCAATTGGTTTTTAATGTAAAAGTAAAAAAAGTATTTTTCTCCTGAAGGGCGTGATGTGACATTTTTTTTCTGCTTAAAATTAAACATGGCACTTTTTCTGAGCTTCTTTGAAAAATCAGAACATATTTAGTAACAATTACACAGCAAAAGTATTTAATGTAAAAGTGAAAAGTATGTCTACAGTACTTCTTTTACAAGAAATCATTTTTTTTCTGTGTTATATTAAACGTTGCAGTGTTTTTCTGTTCGGTTGTTTATGGGTTACGAACTAAATTATGTTGAGCTAGATGTCTAAAACTTCTTGGTCAACAATGAGCTAAGCTGAAAATGATATAACTAAAATCCATTTTGTATATAGCACGATAACACTATGGAAAACCATAAAACGATAGTTCATGGCGAAGCTAGTGTGTGTCCGCTTTAACACACTTTGATCTCAGAGGCCACGTGCCTGTGTTTAAGATTCAAGGCAAGACAGCCTCTATTTGCTCACTGTGTCCTAGTACATGTAGTGTTGGCCTCGTTTAACATGGCTTTATCTAACATACGCTGGTGATGGTAGGGGAGACCGGGGCTAGTTGGACCCCGGGGTAAGTTGGCCCCCCATTAAGTTTCTTTAATAAAGTTACTTCAAGATGCTAAATTATTTCATTTGGACTCACTGCTGACGCTTTCTTAGCACTATTGGATACGGACAATTTACAGAATTATGTGATCAGTTCTTTTACCCGATAGTTACTTTGTCATAAATTGATGGGGGTCCAACTAGCCCCGGTCTCCCCTACTTGTCTTTGCAAGTTAAATACATGTATCTCTGTTGTTTATTTGGTGACCTCGTTTACTTAAGTCGGTGCTTCGAATTCCTAAGCCAGACTGAAATATATGATAACATCCAGAACGAATGTATATACAAATCCAGTGGCGCATTTGTGGAGGCGGGGTGTCAAGGTGTCCTAACCCCTGCTCCTTCGATATCTGAAAAAAAATCACACCAATGGCCCCCTCTTGAAATTAGAATTTTGACTAGCTGAATCATAGGGTGCATTCCCAGAAATTTAGATCGATCCAGAGATTTAGATTTAGATCGACCTATTCCCCTGGGGTTTCACGCTAAATTGCAGTCAGCCGAGCGCGCACCATAGTTAATTACCTCCTTACAGCTTTTAGTAGGCGGGACAGAGGCTTAAGCCGGCTAAGCTGACAGTAATCTAGTGAGACTCCCCACAGGGATAGATCGATCTAAAATCTATGGGAATGGGGTCATAGTTCTAAACCGTACCTAAAATGCCAAAATAATGCCGAACCCCATGCAAGGGGGGGGGCGGGGCAGGTCTACGCATCCACGGTCCTTTCCCCCCCACCCAGAGTTTGGATTACAAGACAAGGCTTGTTGGCTTTCAGTCCAGATGGATATGTATTGATAAAGTGGGCCAAGGTTCATGTATCTGACGAGAACACGCCCATGAAATATATTTACATGATATGGGATCTGGGCTCATAATACTGACAAGCAGTTATTAAATAATAATCAGGGCTCTAGAAAAACAGAACGTCTGTCATTATCAAATTTGAATACAGAGTCCAACTCTGCACACAGAGTGAGCACGCTGTTCTTATTTGTTCGGGTAAACTCGGAGCGACCCCTATCGTGTAGGGAAGAGTATTTAACGCTCTGTTGGCTCGTCAGCAGTCAGATTTCATCTCAGCATTCACATGTGCCAACGGAAGTTCATTACAAGTTTAATGTGGATTCAGTGCCAAGCGACTTCATGAATTCTAATGAAGTTTCTCTCAAAATTAATGCTTTGTTACAAAATATTCCTACCATGGATCTCACTCAATCAAATATTGATAATGTTTATAATGAATTTAAATCTGTGTTACTGAGTGAAATGAAAACCAAACTTCCTTATAGATCTGTGGGTGGTGGATGCACCTGGGCAAAGAAGTATTTCAGACCTAATAAAGAATGGTGGAACGAGGAGCTTCAAATAATGTGGGAAAATGTCAGGGATTCGGAACGCCTTTGGCCATCAGTGAAATCAAATAGTAGAATCTCTTTACAATTGAAAAATGATTATGTAAGCAAACGGCGTGATTTTGATCATGCTAAACAACGAGCAAAACGCCAGTTTTGGCGTAGATTGCAAGAAGAACTCTTACAAAAACAAACCAGTGATCCACGGAACTTCTGGAGAGACATCGGTCGCATTGGAATTCAGAAGGATAGAAAAAGCACCATTCCCATGGAAGTAGTGAGAGATGACGGAACTGTTTCCACGGATATCACTGAGGTTTTATTGAAATGGCAAGATGACTATGCAGGTCTATTCAGTGTGTCAGATAAAAATTGTGATAGTTTTGATAAATCTTTCTTAGACCAGGTTAATGAGAAACTTTATAGTTATAGACAGGGTGACCTTGATACACCAGATTTGAGTGCCAGTCTTAACACTGATATTACATTAAAAGAAGTTGAGTTTGCAGTTAATGGTGCTAAGTGTGGTAAAAGCCCCGGGCTTGATGACCTACCTTCGAAGTTTTTAAAAAACAATACAACAATTATATTTTTGTATAACCAATTTAAGTACTGTTTTGCTTATTCTGTTGTCCCTAGCGATTGGCTTAGGTCCGTCATTAATCCCATACCTAAAGGTAATGGTGTTAATTCATGCAATGCACTAGAATATAGAGGAATAACATTATCATGTAGCATATATAGATATACACATCTATTCTGAATAGGAGATTATCGAAGTGGGCCGAAGATAATGAAATAATAGTTGACGAGCAAAATGGTTTTAGACAAGACCGTGGGTGTTTAGATCACATGTATGTAATGACTGGTATTATAGAAAACAGTTTAAAGCTAAAGCAGAGCATATATGCGTGTTACATTGATGCAAGAAAAGCATTCGACAGAATTAATAGGTCTCTTCTATGGTACAAATTATTTAAACTAGGAATATGTGAAAATTTTATGAATTCCCTCCAGGCTCTATATGATAACCCAAAGTGCTGTGTTAGGGTAAATTACTATACAACAGGTTTCTTTGACATTGAAACTGGAGTAAAACAGGGGTGCTTGCTGTCACCTTTACTCTTTGACATTTATATTAATGATATGGTACATGATCTTAAAGCTCTGGGTAAGGGCATTAATGTAAATGATGAGCTGATTTCTTTGCTCCTTTATGCAGATGACGTTGTGCTTTTGGCCAAGAATGAGGAGGATTTACAGTCAATGCTTGATGTAGTGCACAAGTGGTGTTATAAATGGCAGTTGACTCTGAATGAGGACAAGACCCAGATAGTCCATTTTAGGTCGCCTAAAATACCTAGGACAAATTACGTATTTAAATGTGGCAATTTTCCAGTAAATATTGTTGAAAAATATAAATACTTGGGTATGTGGTATTTTGAGCACTTCGATGCGAATAAGACGGTATCATGTATAGCTAAGTCTGCAAGCAGAGCTCTAGGTCTTCTGATTGCAAAATGCAAGGCTTGTGGGGGCATGCCCTATGCATGCTTTACAAAATTATACGATGCACTTGTAGCTCCTGTGTTAGAATATGGTTCTGCTATATGGGGACTCCAGGAATTTAGTCAGATTAATGCTGTTTTCAATAGAGCTTGCAGGTATTTTTTGGGCGTGGGTAGGTACGCGCCAGTCGCTGCCACCCGTTCTGAAAAGGGATGGACTTCGCCTTTTGAAAAGCAGTTAATTAATGTGACAAATTTTTGGTGTGGATTAGTTAATATGGATTGTAATAGGTTAACTAAAAAGGTGTTTTTATGGAGTTTAAGTGTATCAAACAATGGAAAGAAAAATTGGATAACTAGGGTTAAAGACAAATTTAGTGATGTGGGAGTAAGCCACCTGTACTTAACTGACAATGATTTACTCAAAGCTAGTACACTTCATTGTGTTAGGGAGAGTGTAGCTTTTAAATGTGACTCCGACTTGTGGGCGAAACTATGGGATGATACCCCACGTAGAAATGGAGGTGGAAATAAGCTTAGGCTATTTAGATTGTTTAAGCAAGACTTGGTAGTTAGTGAATACGTTAAGAAACCAACTTTATCGCTCAAGTATCGGCAGGCATTGGCTAAACTGAGATGTGGCGTGGCCCCACTCAGAATAGAAACTGGACGGTATGAAAAACTTCCACTCCTGGAGAGAACGTGTGTACTCTGTGAATCAGGTTGTGTTGAGGATGAGATTCATTTCTTAATTAATTGTCCATTTTTTAATGATCATCGTACTGATTTAATTAGAACTGCTAAATGTTTTAAGCCGGATTTTGATTTATTGGATGAACAAAGCAAATTTCTTTTCCTGATTGATGATCCAAAAATGATTTTTAGCACTGCCAAAGCCTGTAGCCTTTTCTTGGGATTAAGAAGAAATTTTATGTATTTAAACTGTAATTAGTTTTTAGTCTCTCATAGTTCTCTACAGAACTGTCTCGTTGTAATGACTGTTTTAACTTTTATTGTTTTTTATTTTTTATCTTATCGGTGAGACTTTAATAAAATAAACTGAACAGAAAATGTAGTACGTGATCCGTTGCCGCGCGTGTGCATGAGATGTACTGGTATATGTGTCGTGTTTTGTCAAGAACTCCTTAATTTGTTTCCAGATGATTATCTTTTTGTCTTTTTGTGCCTGGACATGCTTCTAAAACTAGCAGGATTTTAAAGGGGTTGTATTATATTTTCTCGTAGTTTTTATCTGTCTGCCCATTATATATGCTTAAATAGTAATTTAAGCAATTAGACAATTTTTTATATATTTATCGTTTACTGAATTTACTTATTAACTATTCCATTCATTGATTGGTTTGTCTTTTAATTAATGTATCTATTCAGTCATTGTTTTTTTTTTGTTTGTTTGTTTGTTTGTTTTTTTTTTTTTTTTTTACATATCTTTTATTTTTGCTTTATTTTTTAATTGATTATCAGGTCAATACCAATGGTGTCGTATCATTCCTGCGCCCCGTCTCTACATATACACCTCAAGCCTTCCCTTTGGATTCCAACCGGAGGCTAATCGCCCCCTTCTGGGCTGACGTGGACACCAGAGAAAACCACGGAAGAGTCTTCTACCGACAGACGACAGATCGGTCCATACTTAACAGAGCCACGAGTGACATTAGAGCGGCGTTCGTGTCACAGTCCAAGTTCACGGCTTCCTGGGCCTTCGTCTGCACCTATGATGACGTCACCTACTTTGGCGGGAACTACCGGAGTAGTGTCAGTATACATAACACATAAAATTTTACTGACATATTTCTGGCACGAAGATAGATAGATAAATAGATATGATTTAGATATACCGGAAGATAGATTTAGATTTGTATTTAGTGGGCTGCATTTGGTTTTATTTGTTCAAGACAAAATGATTGAGAGCAAATGTGTCCCTTCTTTTATTTTAAACATGTTGGAAACTGAAAGGTGGCCTTAATAATAATGATAATACTCCACATACAGAAGCAACAAATAATAAGATATGACAGATTTGACACCAGATCACGGCCCACAGAAGATTTTCACAATGCCTCAACTTGCAACATATATCTCAAAATTATGTGAACGTGGAGAAAATTTCTACCGCCCCCCTTCACAACAAAAAAGCATTTCGGGATAATATTTGTTAAATATGTTTTTATCGAAAGATGGCCTCAATGATATTTGATATATTATTTTACTCCCTGTATGTGAGCCACATAATCTGAATATGTTAGTTTTAGCTATTGGGCCACACTTTTTTATTTTTATGGATGACATCCTGCGCGCGCACCGATTTTCGTCCGTTCTCCAAAAAAAAAAAACCCAAGGAATTCGGTTGTGGCAAACGTCGTTATTGAATTTGCCGGAAAATGCAATCGGCAATCCTCGGCTAATTCTGCAAGCTCCATACTGTTATTGTCGACTGCGGAGACATCCGAGTAGTTCCGAGTGCGGAAAATGAGCTTTCTGCGCATGCGAATTATCACCACGTGGAAATATGGCCGCTTTGCCGTCAAATTCATCTCTAGCATTAATTTCAAAATACACGACAATTAAAGTCATAAAGAGGACGGGGGCCGTCGTTTTGGATTGGTTTGCCATTGATATTGGACATGGAGATATCACCTTTTTAAAATTATACGAAAGGCTGGCCGCGAACAGCGATGATCGCCCGGAAAATTTCAGTGACATTCTGTCCAAAGCAGCACATACCAGGTTTTGTTTGTAGCGAAAAAAGGGTCGACAAGAGCGTCGTGGTATTTGGTGGACTGAAGGTCAGACAGGCCACCCGATAGTTGGTTGCTACGTGTGAGTCGAAGTAGACAAAATGGCATCGACCGAAATTACCTTTTTTAGATTTGGTAGTAGGAAGCATAGGCCTATCTTTGCTTCATTTTTGTAACAATTCTGTGAAGTGTTTACAATGCTTTAATTTTCTGAGAGTACAAATAAAGACACGCTGTTTATTTGATATTTGTTTTATTGATTGTTATACCAACAGAATGCATGAAATAACCTTAAATAGATTTGGTAATATGCAGCATATATATTCATGACTTTTTACCTTTCTACGAAGTAGGCCCTATTCACAATGCTTTAATATTTTGAGAGCATGGATAAAGACATGTTGTTAGTTTGATACGTGTTTCTGTGGTAAATTAGTGTTTCCAGCTGTGTTCTGAAAACATAAATTTTCTTAANTTGATACGTGTTTCTGTGGTAAATTAGTGTTTCCAGCTGTGTTCTGAAAACATAAATTTTCTTAAGCATTTTTTTTTTGGACTGTTTTTTTTTTTCGCCCGCTCGCACCGATTTTGGGGTCCCCAGAGGATGTCATCCATAAAATAAAAAAGTGTGGCCTTGGTTTTAAAAACCACCTGTAAATATGCAAATATGTTTTCAGACAAACACGTTCCAAGTGGTTTTGGTCACCGATGGCCGCCATTCGTTTGCCATATTTAATTACAAGGAAGTGACGTGGACCACGGGGACATCGCATCGGGAAACACCGGCACAGGTGGGTGGAGCATCGATTTATATTGATTTATGTTATCAATAAGATACCAAAAAACAATTGAAATGACAACGGCAATAATATTGTTCAATTCAGTCAATTGCATACACAAATAATCGTTTTTATTGAAAATCAATGCTCAGCCCCTCAAATAGAAAAAAGACAGTTTAACACATCATATAACAGTAAAACAAACAAAATAAGTCAAAACCTAAAATTAGCAATACTTGCCATCATCTTCTATTCATATACAATTTGCATAATGTACATGTGTATTGACCGAACAAGATTTTCTCAATCGTAAAAAAATTAAGAGTTTTAACTCTACATTTAAACATGTAAAAATCATGCTTTTCAAATTGAGGGTGATAACGGATTTATTTTTATTTAGGCGGGTTTTAATGCTGGAGACGGTCTCCGGTATTTCGTAGTGCCCGGATCAAGAACGCCCTCTATCGTCGACATAGAGAACACCACCAACGTCAACGTTCCCGGACGGTGGATATTCCGAGTAGACGACATCGGTGTTGAAGCCGGTGGCTGCAATGTGGGGGGTAAGTGTCACCGACTGACAGTTTATCTCTTTTACAATTACTTTTCATGTTGCAGTTGTTATTTGTTCAATTCTATTCGTCAATGTGTTGATTTATTTATTTCATTATTTATTTTAATCCGAAAAAATTGTCTTATAATAAAGTTATTTACTTATTTTTCTCACTTCATACTACATCTAGTTGGTGAAAACTTTTCAACCGTGGTCTTTAAATTAATTTTCTATTAATCTTGTTATCCACATATTAATATATAAGACATTCAGAAACAAAATACCTGTATATACTTCTTTAGTCAGACTATTCATTTCATTATCATTGGTAACTTGATTTTCTTTATTACTGATAAATTAAAATATAAGTTAGGAGACTGGTCTGTTAATATGTTATTATTTTATCTAAGTGAAATTTGTAATCATAATAAGCTCATGCATTTTCAGTTAAACTACGGATCTCCCCTGTTAAAGGAAACGCTTTAGGAGGTACCGAGATCCTAATCTCTGGTCCTTGCTTTTTTAACTCCACGGGCCAGTTTCTGTGCAAGTTTGATGACATTGTCGTCCCCGGTCACTTTGTCAACACACTGAGGGTCGCCTGCTACTCGCCGCCTTTGTTTAAGACCGGAAAATCGGAGGTGTCAGTACACGTGTCTCAGAATGGAGGGCAGAATTTTAGTCAAGGCAGCACGTTTGTTCCAGGTAAAGGGTGTTTTACTTTCTTGTCGTGAAAATAAGACTTTTTTCCAATTACTTACATGGTCATTCAGGGTATTTTTTTATTGTGTATTCTTCAATTAAACAGCTTGATGTAATAACCAGTTTTCACATGTGGAGTATGTTTTGAATCTACACACACTGGACAAAAGAAGTGTCACCCCCTAACTCAGAGTAATAAAAGTAGGCAGATCTTGGGTATTTATAATGCCTGGTCTACTTATAATGTGAATTATGAGTATAAAACTGCTATACCATGGAATTGTATTGCTGGTCTTGTACATGTACAGCAAATGTTATTCCTGTCTTCCTCCAATATGGCAAGATACAGGTAATTATCTAACGGTTATAGGTGCAAGTTATTAACCTGAAGAGGCGGAATATAAGCGATGTCAGTATATCGATACAATTGAATTGTTTAGTCAGAACCGTGCAGAGGGTCTGGTCTCGGTATAGAAACACTGGATCAAGAGACAAATTGTCTCTGATGGGTCGCCTAAGAAAAACTACTGGCCGTGAAGACCGACGACTGATTTTGATGTCCAGGTTGTCATAGTTCGATACTGCTTGTCAGTTGACAACACAGTGGAACAATTTCACACATAAGAATGTGTCTGTGAAAATTGCTAGGCGTCGGTTACATGCTCATAGAGTGTACAACAGGGATGCAAGACTGAAACCTCTTATATTGTTACAAAACAGGCAACGTAGAGTGAACTAGGGTCAACAGGATCTGAAACTGGACAGTCCATGACAATTGGTCCTATATATTTTTTTCTGATGAGTGTGGCTTTGGTCTGACCTCTGATGACAGACGGGCACGATGCTGGCGAACTGCTGGTAAAGCATTTAAACCACATGTACTTAATTTTCGAACCCGGAGCAGCATATTCATCATGGTGTGGGGCTGCATCAGCATCCATGGCGTGGGCGAATTGATAGTGGTTGATGAAAACATGAATCACTAGAAATATATCGATGTTTTGGAGTCAGGCTTGCTACCATCTATTACTAACATGTTTGGTGACAGGAATTATCCATTTGTTCACCAGGATGACAATGTTCCTTGTCACAGGACCAGAGCAGTTGATGATTGGTTTGACCAACAGGACATTCGAAGGGTGATGTGGCCTGCCCAGAGTCCGGATGCAAACATAATAGAAAATGTGTGGAATGATATGTCAAAACTTTGGACAAATGCCCGTCTAACAAGCAGAGAAACTCTGTTATATTCAGTGTTTCATGTTTAGGCCAGCATAAGCCCTGAACGCATCAGACAATTATATGAATTCTTGCTTCGTAGACCGGCACCTATTATTAGGTCACGTGGCTTTGCCACCAGTACTAATTTTGGACTTGAAATTGCATATTTTGGTAGAATGTAAATTTTGTTCTCATTTTGTGATTTTTTGTGAAATTTGATGTTTATAAAATGATACCAAGAGCATGCCATTCCACAGTCATTTATCTCCCCCATAGTATTGGCTCAGTAGGGGTGACACTTCTTTTGTCCAGTGTGTGTAGAATATTAGAGACCATTTCCAGAGTGTAACTATCTCCGTGGGGATTCTCGCTTTATTGCATTTAACTTAGGCGGCTTATATGTGTGTCACGCCTGCTGAGGCTTATTCTAGGGAGCATTAACTATCGTTTAGAAGCTTTAGTGGGCATCCCAGACGTCTAAGCTGCTTGGACTGAAAGCAATTTAGCGAGGGGCCCCGTGGTGATGGACCGATCCTGTTGGATCAATCCAGGAATGGGAACCCAGTCTTAGATACAATATACTATATTATTATAGATACAGTACAGGACATGTACACACCTGTTATTGTATAACCACAAAGGCATTTGTTTGATGTAAAATTCTTATGTGAACGTCTTAATTATCTAACTATTGATTTCATTGTGCAAATAATGCCAGGATCACTTGTGAGATTGTGAAAGTAGCACGAAAATGCAGTAGTATCGAAGTAGCAAAGAAGCATTAACGCAGTAGTGGTGTGGAGCATATTTGCAGTAGAAATGCAGTATAGCCTACTGCAATTCTACTCCAAAAAGTACATAGGTTTGTACAGAAAGGAGCAATAATGCAGTAGATTAGCAGCATGATAGAAGCATGTTTCAAATATGCTAATTAGCTCCCAAATCGAAGCAGATTTGAGGCATGTTTGCAGTATGATTGCAGTTAGTCTACTGCGCTGGAGTATCTACTGCGTTTTCGTGTGGGACCTCATATATTGATTGATAAGTGAATAAATTATTTATATAAAAAGAGTGTAAGGCACAGAGCAAAACTGAACAAATTTGATCAAACATGTAAATGATGTAGGAAGTTTCAGTAATGAGCTTATGTGAAGGGTGGCGTATTATACAAGTATTACTTTTCTAGACATGGATGCGATAAGTGACCCTAAAATTGTTCGAGTTGATGAGGAAAAGTGGGACAAGGGTCCCTATGTGATCCAGTGGGACCCGACAGAACTTCAAGCGTCGACGTTGGACCTGGACCTGCTCACTTACAGGTTGATTAATTAATTATATTATATTATATTATATTATATTATATTATATTATATTATATTATATTCTGTGATAATCATGCGCAATTTCATAAACAATGAGCTTTCAAAATAATCCGCGTACTTGATTAAATTGGAAAAATGTGTCTTGATAGATATTATTATTATTCTCTTTTTGACCTTTTTCATCTGATGTACAATATGTCAAGTTCTCTTGTCCTTATTTTAAAGGTGACATTTTTGTAAATAATACACCTTAAATTTTAAGAAATAAAAAATGTTTGAAATAATTAATTAGATGTTTTATTTCAGTGGAGGAAGTCTGGAGCTCCGTGAAAAATGGATCAATATTGCCACTAATATATCAAACAATGGTACTGAAGACTTAGACGACCTCCTCAACAGGAAAGGGAACTTTGGTGATATAGCGGAATTCGGAGCTATTCGGCTAACTCCGACAGGTTCTGCTTCAGGACCAAACTGCACGTGAGCTGCATGTTTTATCAATTTTATTTTAAACATCTACAGTGCATCATTGACTGCTCTTTCTCTCATTCTCTCTACAAAAATAAGGAATGTTTTAGCTCTAACGTCCTTCTAATTACTTTTTAATATTTCTCTAAAATAACGGAAATAGACTTTCTTTGAGTAATGATTTCGGACCTTTACACATATTTTTCTTTATACATAACAGAGCAGCTGCCATATGGTCGGATATCCATGTAGTACAGTGGTACATGAATGCCTACATGGCAACCAAAATAAAGCAAGGCACGCAAAACCAGCGTAAAAGAAGTATCATCGATGGTCTGACAAAAGCCGTGGACGACATAGGAGGCAGAATAAAACAAGTAGCACAAGAAAAATGGACTGACGTCAAAGACAAAGTGAAAAAGTATTTTCAGAAATGTGAACAAACAGATGTGTCAGGCTTGGTTCGACAGTGATTCCAAAAAGCCGTTGCCCACAGATGTTCCTCCGTGCCCCGTCACGCTTCGCCAGGCCAGCAGAGACCGTGGTACCTTCTCGGAGGACCCCGCCTGCAGAAGGGGTGACCCAGATAGCTGTGGTTTTCATCCTGGGGCGTCTAGTTGTTTTCGTTCAAACGTTTGTAGGTATGGGCTACTTTGTTTTTTGGCGGTTTCTTTCCTGTACCTCCCTTAATGGAAAGGTGTTCTTCTCAGCACTCCCCACTGCGCGTTTTTTCTCAAGTAATAAAAATAATAAAGAAACTAATTACAGGAGAGCTGCATTTTACCAGTGTTAATTCTGTGCCCTGTTCTCCCTTCATTGTTTATCTGAAATAAACACAGGTGGTGAGGTTGTTTTCTGGATATAGTTTATATTGAGGCCTACTTGTGGTATCTTCCTGAAAATTTCGCCTCAAATTGACTTTGACCAAATGCGTTTTTTCTGTTTTCAATAAACACCTTAGTCCCTCTGGCGCCGGTCAGCAATGCTGTTACAATAGTGAAGGATCTTTGCTCAACGTCGCCGATGGTCAGCTGGGCGGTGGAACACTGGACAGATACCACTACAAGGGCTGTGAAGGGACAAAAATTGTTCCGATCCTCGGCCATTTTGCTGTTGATGTCGTGCCGTATTATCTCTGTTGCAAGTACTCGGGAGATGAACAGCTGTGTCAGGATACGTACATGGGGAGACGACCCTCTGATGATGGAAGTAGATACCGCCCTCCAAGACCAGGTACATGTTATATATACGTGTAATTGTTCTAAGTACTGTATACTTCAGATAATTTTATTTTCTCTTGTAATTGATATTCTAATGTCAGTAATTGCTCGTTTCGGGAAAATGCAGTTTACCTGTTTTAGACCGCATTCCCATCGAGTTGAGCCATGGCTCTACAAAGCCACGACCTAAATATGGCGGACGTACATGAAAGGAAAAACGCTTAATCTTTTAATAGCCTCTCCGGCTCTCACACGCATCTCTATGTGTCGTCCCAATGGAGCCGAGATTTAATGACTGTACCCCCGCAGGGACGACACATGGGAAGGCGTGTGAGAGGCGGACAGACCTTTAAAAGATTAGGCGGTTTTTCTTTCATGTATGTCCGCCATATTTAGGTCGTGGCTTTGTAGAGCCATGGCTCAACTTGATGTAAATGCGGCCAAAACGATCTAACTAATCAATTAATCAACTGATTTATTAATTCAGTCAGTCATAAATCTGTTCATTGTTTCTTTTGTTATTCTTTTTTATTTGAATATTTATTAAAAAATAAGGGCTTTTAGGTTTGGCATTTGTAAAAAATATGCTTAAACCAGTATTGGGGTAGAGCTGTATAGGGTATACATGTACCGATGCTTTGAACTATATACTCGACGGTCTACATCCCTAGATGTACGTGTGAGGTCTTATTTTCAGCTGTCGGTAACGGTGACCCCCACTTCATCACGTTGGACGGTTTGCGGTACACGTTTAATGGAGCTGGTGAATACACCCTTGTGAAGACCAACGATGGTTCCTTTACCATGCAGGGCAGAGCGGAGACAGTACAAAATGCTGGCGGTAGGGGAATGACGGAATGGAATATTTGTTGTCATTTTCAAAATTTAGAACGAAATAATTGAGAGTTTAATTAACATTCATAGCACAACCAAACTCCATTATCGTGAAATCCCCAGGATAGATAATGAAATGTTTTCTTAAAAAAACTTCCTATAAGCATCCGCCCCATAGGTCAACATTCAATATGGCGTAATTCTGTATAATCCGTAGGTGGCAGTCCCAACGCCACTGGGTGGACTGCTTTTGCGTTCAAAGGGTCAAACAGCAGCACGGTGGAAGTCAGGACCAGCTTGCTGAGAGTAATCGACGTGTTAGTTGGCGGAGTCAGAATAGATTTTGATGAACTTGGAGACAGGGTGACAAATTACGAAGGTAGAGATGAATCGACTTTAAATGCCATTCAACGGGAGCTGGTTTTAAGTACCATTTCCCTCTGTCTATCTGTCTCACGTTCTATGTATGTCTCTCTTTGTAATTTTATAATAACTTTCATTGCGGCTTAATGATACCTTTATTTTCAGTATTCTCACGTTCATACCTTACAATACTATCTATTATCATATTCCAATTGGTCATGTGACTACGGAAATCATACTGCAGGTGCTGGCGGTATATTTGTACTTGTTGGAAAGTATATATATATATATATATATATATATATATATATATATATATATATATATATATATATATATATAGTTGTTCGTTACTTGGAACAAATTTATCTGAGGAGGAGTACGAGTACGCGTCAAAAGACCAGATGGGGTTTTTAAATCAGAACTTAGTTATCAATTATTTTATTTTATTCCAGGTCTTACCATTGAACGAAACATGAACACGTCCGTCACGGAAGTGGACCTTAACAATGATGGCGTCTCCCTCACTGTGACACACGTAGCGGGGATTTTTAATTTCATGCTGCTCCTACCTGAGTCTATGAAGAGTATGTTTGGTTTAAATCATTATATAAGTGTTTGCTCTTTTCCAAAGTTTCAAAATCAGCTCGTGATGCACAGAGAACTCAAAGTAGCTTATTGCTGAAGTAGACAATTAATACGTAGTCTTGTGCCAGGCTCTGTTATGACGGTACCTGTATAAGCTTGTATTTTCACGTGTCAGTTTGCTACGCATGATATTGTCGTTTACTGCAAAGGTGAGTCTGTGTTACAAAATAAAATTGAATAATATTGCTTTTAATTACAGATAAGACAGAGGGGCTATTGGGTACCTGGAATGACAATTCAGAAGATGATCTGGTGGCGTCCTCTGGCGTCATGTTACAACACAATTCCAGTACCAGAGATATTCATTACAACTTTGGAGAAACATGTTAGTTGCACTTTGTATGTTATAATCAAATTACGAATGAAAATTGGGACATTGTATAGTGCAGGAATCCAGCGTTCCAAGATGTCGATTTCAGAATCATTAGGGTCTTTACGCAGCAATATGGTTTCGTTTATGAAAGCACATTCAAAAGCTTCTGTATATACCTCACTGGAGATGTATATCTCCGTATTTTCATCTTATCTTACCTTCCAAACTAACATGGTATTTTGAGTCATTTGATAAAATGCATGTTCTTCGTCCAGGGAGAACCTCGTCTGCAACAACCCTGTTTACATACGAGATTGGAACAAATCATTCCACGTACCAGAATACCAGTTTTGTGCCCCTATTCGAGGTACCCCTCTCATCAGCAAACACCACCGAACTCTATCTTATCTGTGGAGACAACGACCAATGTATTTTTGATTACGTCTCAACCGGAAACACCGACATTGCCCAGGCGACCAAGAATAGTGTTGAGGACTATGCTACAGCTGTCACTGACACGGAACCAGGTATGCATAAGTTGTTTTATTTTAACAGTTTTTACCAGCATATCCCTTTGCACCCGAAGTTATGTGAGAAATTTACAGCTGACTCCCAAAAAGAATATGTGTGTGTGTGTGTGTGTGTGTGTGTTATCCAATTCTGACTGCATAGCGTCGTAGCTCGTTAACCAATTGATAGTTTTTTTGTCTGACCTTACAATTAGATACTCAGATTCTCCACATGTTGTTTGTGCTTGTATGGAAAACTGATTGTTAAATCATCCACCAGTTGTGCTATGTCCACGACTTGAGACGCCACCCAATGGTCAGAAGACTGTGACCAGTGGTTACACGGCCGGAGCTGAAGTGACCTTTGCCTGCGACAACGGCTATATTTTACAAGGATCAGCCAATAGAACTTGTCTTTCTACTGGTCTGTGGAACGGCGAGAACAGCTCATGCCAATATGATGGTAAGTCAATATATGGTGGATGTTACCATTAGAGTGTTGGTTTCATTTCTGCAATGTTCCTCCGTTGAAAAAGTATTGCTTGGCTTTTTAAATCGAGAAACATGATTGTGAATATACTATTTGTCTTTTCTTTTTTTTTTTTTTTTCTTTCTTTATAAATATCCGTTTTCTGTCGCCTTTCACAGGTTCCTCTTCCAACAACGAAGGCGTGAATGGAACAGGTACGGAGAGCAATTTAAATGCACATGCGCACTCTTATTAATTAAGAAAACACACGCACTTACACGTATCAGTATTGATATTTTTGTTTGTTTGCTTTATTTTTACAACAAATATATTTGAAATACACTTAACCGAAACACACACCACTAAACTATGAATATTAATATTTATAACCATTACAATCATCAAACGAGCCTTCTTTTTTCTGTCTATATATTAGAAACTATGGGGGCCTAACGCTGTCACGTACTGTAGTTTTCCAAATAAACAAAGAATATAAATATTTTTCTGAAAAACTCTGCTTATGTTTTATTTGGAAAACTTCGTGGCAGCCTTAGGCCACCATAGATGACCATTTCTTGGTATTTCAGGACTCGGCTTGAACGTCATAATTCCCATTGCGTTTGCGGCAGCAGCTTGTTTGGTGCTCATAATAACTGCCATAGTCTGTGTGGTTCGGAAGACTAAAATCGATTTTGTGTGAATTTTTGCCCAAATTTTCAAGGCAAAAGACCATATTATTTCCAGATTAAGTATAAATTTGAAGCTTACATGTTTAGGCCAATTTATGTTTTCATTGAGTTGACCTGGGTGATTTTATGAAGACAGCAACGTTTGAAGAGCTTCTTTGTAAGAACTAAGATTGCAGATAACGCCGTGTAATTATCAAGCCCGTTTAGTAGTTTAGTAATTTCGATAAAAAATGTATCTGTCTTAAAACTATAACATAAAACCTTATATACAACTCACTGCTTTAGATTTTTAGTAATAAGTTTAATAAACATTATTGTATGAATTATATAGTTTTGACGGATATCTTTAAAAGTGTTGGAAATATTTTCTAAATTTATTAATCTTTATAATAATAAATATTATAACAATAAATATTTGTAAGACTTTGAAACATATAGGATTTATAAAACATTAATATATATAATTGAAACAGTAATTATACTCCAAGAATTCGCTTATGTTATGTAAAATGTCAAAGAACATGAACAAAGTCATGAATAAAACACTTTAAAATGTATCTTTTCAGCTCCTATTTGAATGGTTCATAAGCTTCTTTATGTATTAAGATAAATTTGTAGTTTGTTCCACTCAACCAGTGCAGCTATACAAAACGCTTTGTCACGGTATGACATTTAATTTCCATAAGTTTTTAGCCTATAGCTTTGTCAGTTTCCAGAAAAAAAGTTTGTCACCAGTTTTTGGGGTTCTTTGAGATATATCTCGTGATATTTAACCGGATCACTTGTATATGATAGAGATAGATTATAAAAATGTGGCAGCTGTAAAATTTAAAATAAAATTCTAGCCCAAACTGGTAACCAGTGCAATAGTTTTCAGTTGGATAAATGTTACAATCTCTAGGCTGTAAGATTAAAAACCGTGTCGAAATGTTCTGAATACGTAGTAATCGCATTATTCTATCATCGGGACATCCATATAGTAGTAGTACAGAATTGCAGTAATCCAGCCTACAGCAATTATAACAGCATATGGTTGATTCGGATATTTTCTTTTGGTGCAAGTATTCCGAATATTAATGATGTTGGGATCTAAATGTACATTGATAGTGTAAAATCATAATATACACCTTTATTACATTGGGAGGAGGTTTGGTACACTATTACCTTTTTTAAGTTGAAGGTTCAGTGCAAAGCACTTGTTGTGGGGCCATTAATAATTAAAAGCCCAATTTTCTATCAATTTTCCGTCAATTATCTTAAATCCTCTGAAGTCTGATATGCAGTCAACAATAGTATTCGTTGACAAAACTGGATCATGAATATTACAAGATGTGTACGTTTCTGGGTGTCATCTGCACAAAATGAAATTTAAATGTGTGCACTATTTGTTCGGAAATTATATTTTAAATTAAGATATTTCAGGCGAACACATCACGTGATTATCATCAATCAACACTATTCAATGTTTTTCTCAAATCCGCTTCATTTCTTTTTAATAATGGGACCTTCAATGAATGCGGCCGTCATCGGCCAAATTTCGAACATCATGCTTGAGATTTAATTACTTAAATCGGCTTAGATCAACGAGACATAAATGTTTATTGTTTAATTGTTTATTATCCTAGCAACATAAGTATAACTTTGACCTTTGAGTCATGCACAAGGGGGGTTCCAAACCATTCATCATCCAAGTGATCGATGTGATGACACACAACTCCAGAACCTAATATTAGTGGAACCTGTATTAATGGAGAACACCGGCCCTGTAGGGTGGTGGTGGGGGGGGGGGAGAGTTCGAAGGAACATATCTTTTGTTTTAGCCATAAAAGGTACCCTCTGAATGAAAATGTGATCTAAGTGTTACAAATGTATATCCCATTTTTTAAATGGGATTGACTAATGGAGTAAATATTTATTTAAAGAAAAATGAACCCCCCTTTTGAAATTGCTTGCTGCAAACCTGAATACGTTTTAATTATTTTCAATCTGTCATTTTCGTTATTTAAGTTGGTGGTGTACAATGTGTAGTGCTCCGAAGGCAGCCCATGCACGATTCCTGCCAAAATACATGTACGTTTGTTAACCTACGTTGCCAAAATATATAGCACCAACGTCTCAGATGTGTATTACACAATTTTATTAATTTAAACTCCGTTCAAAATTATTATAAGAATGTCAGACATCAAAGTACATAAGCATTTGAAGTTCAAAACACTAATTTAAGAGATTTGATGACTAAAATGTACAATTTAATTAGATTTTTTAGTCTAGAAACGGCTATTTGATAGACCGAGTATTGGGGGAGCATTACACTAAAATCTATATTTCATGTCAGCCTCTCGTTTTTACTACTACTCAGAAACTAGGGTGAGACTAATCTTTATGAAAAAAAAAACGGCAACTTGTGCCACAGGAATGGAGGTCCTATGAAGGATTGTCCGGTGTCCTATATGATTAGCATAGGTTAGGATTAGTCGGCATACAGTGTATTGGGTTTAGCATATGGGACGATTCTCACCTGTACACAGAAATGGGGAACGAACTGCAGACTACCATTCTTGTCACACTTTACCCTGCATCACGGGGGACTCGATTTCCAAAATGAAAGCAGAGAGCATCGACCCTGGTAAAATTTATTATATTCATTTTTCCCATTACAATTTCTTTCCACAGAAACGAACAAAATAAATTTGTATCCAGTTGTCAAATTCCCTTCACCAAAGAGTTCGTTCAAATTACAATTGCTCAAGTATTGTTTAATTGACTATGAACAAAACGGTTCATAATCTTTAAAACTATTAAGAGCGATTGCAACTAAAATAAATTGAACGCAGTTTAAGTCCGTGTCTAAACAAGCTCCAGCTCTATGGGATAGTGGTCACTCACTGCTTTGGCCTGCAATGAAAAACCACGTTGTAAATTAAAATAAAAAAACTTGATTTTTTATATACAGAAAAATTTTTACAGGCACCCTTTCTGTTTAGTCTAGTTATGGTTTTTTTCGCACAAAAGTCTAAATTCATCAAAGTGACATCACGATTGGCCTGTATTAGTGGGTAATTACTATAGGGAAGCTGTTCCAAGATGATCTGACGGGACCCCATGAAATCAAATACGTATAGTTAAATAAGTACCTCCTCGTTTGTAAGACCATATTCCAGGTCGAAGCGGAACACGCTGACGTTGCTGATGCCATCGACCAAATCCTGGCCCCGTGCTACAAACCTGGAATTATATCAAGATTTTTCATATTCCGTCTGATAAAACGTCACCATATAAGTTTCCCTTGGTTATTGGTCATGTGAACTTAGCTCTGGTATTCCGGCTGAAAATTCCACGAGGAAACGCAAAACAGGCAGCTTTCCTATGTCAATTATCTTAACAGACGTACATCATGCAGACTCCACGTCAACATCGATAGTGATTTAAAAATTTAGATCTCTAACTTAGAGCTCAAAAACAGATTTTAGGTGGTACTATTTTTGTTAACCATTTTGGAATTGGTGCACCTTGACGATTAAGGGTAAAAATTCAATGGTCTTATGCTCATTGTGTGTCTTTTTCGAAACTGCTTATTTTCGTAGGAGTCTAGGTTGCACCAATTTCAGCATGTACTCTATTTTTTACGAAACAGGAACCGGATGACTATGCAGAGAGATAACATTTCCAATATAAAGATTTAACGCTCAATGTGTGACTTTAAAGCGCCCACCTATCGTAGGCACAGTCCGTGGTAGACACGGTGGTGTCAGCGTCGTCGGGTATCAGCCACGTGAACGGTGAACAACGCAGTGACAATGCAGAACATGTTAGGTCGCGCACGTAGTTGCAATCTGCGTTCAAGTCTCCCAAAACAAGCACGTCGTCCGTTGGCCACTTGTTTGCGACGTCAATACTCACAACGTCAGCGAGGGCGTTAAGTTCATTGACGGCATCCGTAGGTTTCAGCATGCAACGTGCATAAGACAAATTCTACGCCTGAAAGTAGGAATATCAGCACACATGAAACATGTACAAATGAACCGATATAAATATTCTATGTTCACATATATAAAATCAGATGTGTTGATTTACTATAGAACCCAGTCACATTGTAATTAGCACGTGAAATTACACTGAGGGTATGTGTTGGAGACAATTTATTGACATAAAACCAAAGAAACACGCATGAAGGTAGCTTCCCGTTAAATGTAATGCACATATTTATGTATTATGGGGGAACGTTGCGTTATAAAGGCCTACTAGTATATTTGGCATTGTTTGTTTTTGTTATGAAAAAAATTAAATAGCACAAACCCCATTATTTGTTGCTTTATTTTCCCGCGTTCATCGTCAATTTTGCTGTTTTGGAAATTGGTGGGAGATGGTGATACATGTAGGTCTCTGATATAACGTACTAACTAGTACTAAACGTACTAACTTGAGGACACTGATGTTATTGACTGCTAAAGTGTGGACTACAATCCGGTACCAGCGTTTTCTTTTGATTATTTATTAATTTTTCAATAGGATTTAGATGTATCAACTTCAACAAGGCATCATTTCGCCTCTTCACTGAAACAATCAAAACTAGAAATGTCAAGAAAATTTCTGGTACGGGAATATAGTACTTATTGTTGTGATCAAATTAGATATCAAATTCGATTTTAGTTCATTTTGGAATTTCCTGTACCCAAGCTGGTAAAATAGAAATGAGAAAAAAAACTTGATATGATTCTCGTCTTTATGATAATACTTGTATCTGGTCTTCCCGTGTCCCCATTTTTTTTTTTTTTTTTCGGTGTACTGGATTTCAAATTCTACAAGAGTCTGTTAAATATCAAATGTACTTTTTAATGACTCTAAATTGCCAAATTCCCTTATTGTACAGAGGTATAATAACTTGGACACAATCATTTTATTTTCAGAATGCTTCTACTAAGCAGTAAAACTTAAATTAAGATTTCTTCCCATTCAAAATATTACATACATTTGTGGGCTTCAAACCTAAACATTTTTGTTTCAGTTAAAATCCAGATAGAGAGAAATATAACTTCAATATTTAAGCTTATTTAAGATTACAACATTTCATAGTTTTCTATAGTTTTCTTTTTGATTAAGAAGAGAGTTAATGCGTAAAATAAGAGTGCTTAGCTCTTCAGTCGGTTGATTTGATTTTCATTTAAAATGTTCATCATTAAGCTCTGTCAGTCTTGTACATGCACAGTTTAGAGGTAAATGTGGTTTAATTCATTTCGTCACATTCCAGAGGTAACATTACCTGATATAAGGGATCGGAACTTCACAAAAAACGGTTCTCTTTCAAATGCGTCACTGCCGTCATCTGGTCCGTCGTCGTACTGATAAGACTCAAGCACAGTAGCAGATTCATCTCTGAAAAATAAACCAAGCAAATGTTTTGTTCTTTCATTCTGTGTGTCTCACTAAGTCCCCTAAAGAGTACTCACACCAGATATATCGATGGATTCAATTTTGATAAATTTATATTACCGACTGTGAAAACATGATTTTCGGCACGATTCTAGTTAAAAAATATATTTATAACTTTCCTAGTAATAAAAATCGAATTCATAAATCCATTTTTAAACGCCCACTGTATGTTGCAATGATTCACTGGCTAATATCTTGTCCACTCCTTGAAGTAAGGTTATTTTTTTGTTTTATTAGCGAATAATGAGGTTGCGTATAACATGCCTCACCTTCATATATTATTCAGGGTATTTGTTCATAAAATTTAAATGAACATCTCAAAAATAGCATTATGCCTGCCAGACAGCAAAAAGATTTATACACAGTCAATTTCTCCTAATTAATGAACGACCCACTGCTGTACATCCCCCCCCCGTGATGACCCCTCCCATAGACATCAATTGACCCTGACCTAATATATTCGAAGAGATGAAATTAACTAAAAGTCTCATTTGGAAAAAGGTAACTTTGTAGACTCTGTAATCCATGCCGCTTTGGAGTTAGGTCTGTATTTTGACAAATAAAAGGTCGGTAGAAAGTGTTGTGAATTTAATCTCATCGATTATATAAGGTGGAGTGTTTCTGTAGTTTACCTGTACAGGAAAGCGTACTGTTCCTTGACTCTCGAGCGTCCCAGACGTTCGCTGAGCTCCATGGAGTAGGAATGCCCGCCTTGCCTGAAACCGGAGATATGCCATGCCTTAGTATTGTCATATATCTTGAATAAAAGACCCTTAATTGTCTCATCTATATCAGCGGCATCTACCGTACATATACATCTAACTGGATCGGTCCGCTTTGGATGGTCTGAAATGTCATTATTCTGTGTTCGTTTTAACCTTTCAGATGTTTAGTGACCCCAGGACCCACGCTACATCTTATTTCCAACACACTAGCACTAGCATAATCAGCAGTTTTTCTGTATTCTAGCCAACGCTATGGGGAGGCGTGTTAATCTGTTTGACCTGATTGAATTCAGCGGGAATCCTTGCGGAGTTGGGTCGATCTACCTAGAACGGTAATTATACTAGGAACGAACCCTTAATGAATTGACCGTGTCGAGCGCGGGGAACTCCGTTCAGTTGACTCTCCAACGCACCTGTACTAACCAGGCTTTTTTTCAACCTCTCCGAGTGGACGGTCCAGTTAAATGTACCGCCCGGTCTGAGCAGAACCTAGCATTATTTGGATGATTATATAAAGCGTAGCACTTTCAAATTATAAAAGACCAGCATATATAGTGCTCTTCAAGGATTAGATCCTAGCACGTGTAGTATTTTTCAATGTTTGAAGTGCAGCAAGTGTAGTATTAACAAATGATTTAAGCGTAGTAATTAAGCTTTAGAGAGAAGATAATGAATTCTAAGTCGCAGTTTACTTACTGGTTGACAAGACTCAGTAGTTCATATATAGATTCCTGGGAAACATCTCTGATTTCTTGAATAAGAATAATATCGTAGCGTTGAACTATCTAAAAGTTACAAAAATAAATTAAAATTATTAAAGGACATCGACTGGGCTGAATTCCCTTTTGTAATCAGCGTGCATATACAGGTCCTGACACTGAAATGCTTCCAACGTTTCACTAAAATGCGTCAGCTCAGTTAAATTTTGATTTCAATCAAATGTCAACAATATGATAATTAAATTATATCGTTTATAAACAATTCACGAAATATTGTACTTCAAATACCGATTTTAAAAAAAATCTCACTGTAAGTGCAATGATTGCACCTGCAGTACTAGCAGCACAACTAGCACAATCTCAGTCTCTCTACTAATGATTTGCATAAGTGAGAAGTAGTCCACGTGACCTTCTAGCCTTTTCTGTGCTGAATTTTGGCAGACATTTGAAAGTACTGAGACAGGCAGGACCTTAGCTTAGGAGACCTTAGAAGATAGCAAAAAAAGTAAGCATCTGGCATTTATGTTATTGTTTAAATGTAATATTATTCACACTTTATTCTTAAATGTTAGGTGTATGTTAAAATTAAAGAATGTACTGCAGTTGCTACTAGCAAGGAGTTATCTGTTATAACTCCTTGCTACTAGTAAGTGTTTGGTCTCACAATAGTGTTACAAGGGTTAGCAGTGTCATATGTAAGGGAAACGTGGCTTATTCTACAGCACCATTTTCATTTCACTTAATTTCATTTAGGTTTTATAACACTTAAAGTGAATGGGACTGAGTGTACATGGCCAACTTATTAAAGAAATAGGGAGTTAATGGTAAGTTTGTTATAACAGTGTATATTTCTTTGTTGGATTTGCTAGAGAAGAGCTTACTGGATGTGTTATCAAAAACAAGCTGTCAGATTTATGAAATGACAAATGTTAAGCTTTGTGTTATATGAGGAATGGACTGCCTTTAATAAACAGTGTTTAGGAATTGTATAATAATATGTAAATTTGGTTTGATGAGATTGTTTTATGTGATATTTATTATTTATTATTGTTACTTGGTTTCCTATTAGTTTCACGGTTGATTGTTGATTCAAGAAAGAACAAAGAATACAATACAAACCGTCAGCATTCCCTCTTGTTACCTGTCTCTCTACACGCACATAATATGAACGTGGCTAACACCAAGCAGAAAACCATCAATCGTTTATATTTTACAGATATTTCTTGTATAGTTAAATTTAGTGGATTTATTATCGTGACAGTACCGTATATACATAAATAATATATAAATATGAATATATAAGTGATGTATAATTATTTAATGCACATTTCCTACCTGGACCAGGATATCCACCACCTCTTCTTTAGACATCTTGGTTTTACCAAATATCTGCACATTGAATGCGGCTATTTTGAGGCCTGTGGTACCACCCGCTAAATAAATGTGATGTATGCATGACAAAAACCTTATACTCGTTCAGAAAAGCATAAGAATAAAGAAATAAAATTTACATTCCCATGTTTGTAACACACTTCCCAGCTATGAAAGTCGAGTGTGAATACACGGGCGGAAGAGACCGTCTTCGCATGTCAAAATCACCTTTAAAGTGGATTTTTAGTAAACGTAATATAGAGAAATACACTCTGAAAGACCCTAATTGAACAAAACGTATATTCTTCAATGGGGACACGATAAGCAAATGTTAAGATTCAGCTCTGATTATAAAAATTGAATCACCCGTCGTATGGGCTCCGAAAGCAGTGGCGAAATTTTTGCTTAGTCTGACACCTGCATTCTCGATGTCAGACCTTTTACTGAGGTATCGGTAAACGAGGTAATGGCCACACATCATTAATAAAAGCAGTGACAGAATTATTAGTAAGAGCAGCATGTGTAACAGATTTTCTTTCCGAAAACATAGGAACATAAAACTGAACACATCAAACGGACAAATGCAGACTTGACATTTAATATGAAATATTTTTTCCAAATCATTTTTAATAACTTTTTTCCTATTTTGCTGACTGATAAATGAGAATAAGGACTTGATATTTAATATGGAATATTTTTTCCAAATCCTTTTCATTATTATTATTTTTTTACTGATAAATAAAAATAAGGATTACAATCGTATAATTAATAATAATGTGTGTATTAAAATTACCTGTGTCGTTACCTTTATTATTTTGATATTCACAAACTGAATGAAAAATTTTAATAATGAAAAATAGCACATAAGAAGTTGTAATAAATTTATTTTCATTTTAGTACACCTATTCATTTGTCAGATAAATTTTCAAATTGAAGCCGTTGACGGCACCTGTAAGGGTGCATCCCCCTTCAATTTGTAGGATGTACGCTCCCGATTTCGGTATTCCTTTTACAACATAAGGCCCTAGCCAGAGATCTTCCTGCTTTCCACCTTTTCTGTCTAATCTTCTTAGATTGCGTTTCAGAACCTTTGTACCTATGGTAAGCACCTGTATGATAGATTTAGTTATGATAAGTCTTTTTGACATAATTAATCATAATTCAACTACAATTTATATAAAAGGAAATTGAGTAAGAAATAAGCATACGTACACACCGCAACAACAGCAATACAAAATAACCTCAGGCAAACGGTGTACTTACAACGGTCGTACTAGGTGAAAGAAATGTTTTACTGGTAATATATATATATATATATATATATATATATATATATATATATATATATATATATTCCAAAAATTAAATGCAGTGATGACTCACTGAAATGTATTACCTCATCTGTCAATGGCGAGCATCATATCGCTTTTTTGGCTCTTGTTGTGCCTTTCTGATGTTTCTCAATGCTGCCTCTCCCACTGTCTTGTTCATCGTCTCTACTCTGGTTTCCACTTCTTTCTGACACTCAGAAACAGTCGGCATATTTATGCCACTGGGCCCTGGCACGACTTCGTCACACTCTTCTCCATCACTAATACACGTCTGTTGGTAGCACAGGTTTTCTAAAGAGAAAATAAATTTTAATTTTATGTACAGTTACCCATTCCTTAAATTTTATTTATTATATCCATCCGAGATACCTTATAATAAAAACACGACATTGTTCAATATTACTTACATCATTGAAGAAAACGTGTGGAAAATAACATTCTATTTTTTTAATAAAACGTCAAAGAATTCAACATTTATGGCGAAGAAAGTTTATATTCCTCTTTACCTCCCAAACATCAGATAAAAGGGGGAAAACCCAGTCGATGCATGGATGGACGTACAGTATTATACGCAAAGACAACATCCCCCAAAACTTCGCCCCAGTGGTGATCATCCTGGAGCTTTAACAGCATGTCCTTCAAAGTTTGGTTAAAACGTTCTGGAAAAAATGATAAATCGTAAAATTCATCCAATACATGAATGTTATAGAAGAATATGTACTCATCTCACCAAACTGATAAGTCGTATAGATAGTATGATAAAGTATGTATTGTATTAAATGGCCAATCAAACCCTTAACTAAACTGTGGGCTAAACTTAGTGACAATATATGGTATTACAGATATGTATAAAATGTGTTTATTCAAGAATATCAATAAAACATACCAGGGGGGCCATTGCATTGGGGATGGTAAGCTGTGATTCTCTTGTATTTAATTTTGAGGGATGTGGTTATGGAATGTAACAAATTGTTGTTAAACTCCCTTCCCTGGTCAGTTAATATTTCCTTGGGAAATCCAAAACTGAAAAAAAAAGAACACTTGATCCTGATTGTTTAGTTAACAACTCACTCTGCATGAGATTCAGCGGAAAGATTACTTTATAATGACATATGACATGAAGTTAGTATCATCCTAGTTAATTATATAAATCAATAACTTAAACATAGAACGGTGCAAGCGTTGTTTATGAATAAGTCTTAATATGCCTATAATACGACACTTACTTAAAAACAGGTCCAAAAGAAAACTGGCCACACCGTGCCTGGGCCAGTTTGCTATACTAGCACATAACAGTGCATGCATACGCATTGCCCGTTTCGGTCTGTGGCATGGGTCCAATTAAATCAATGCCAATCTACAAAAATTACAAAAAACACTACTTTATTTCTGATTTAACTTGAAATTTGTAAAATTTAAAAATTTAAATCACTGAATTTAAAGACATCTGATTTCCAAATCTTAAGATTTATTTCCTAAAAAGGTATATTGATAAAATATGCAACTTTTTTCCAATATTAATGTTACTGATAAAAATAACTAGATTATTAGAAGAATAGGTACCGGTATGTCTTGCTTACCATCCTCCACGCCTCAGGCTTATGAACGGCTATGGGGTTAAGCGGTGGACAGTCTTTTTTTTTTTTTTTTTTTTTTTTTTTTTTTGTTCACTCGTTGACACTTGTCACATTTTGAGAGGAGTTTTATAATATCGTCAACCATGTTGGGCTAAAAATATCTTTTCTCAACTTTGGCAAGAGTTTTATCCCTACCTAGTTGACCACCTAAAATTTAAACAAAGTAATTGAAAGTAATCGCTTCTGAGACACCCTTGACATTTGTCAATGTCAGGAATGAAATAAAACGATAAAAAACAACGTATTTGATATTGTGGTTACTGATGTTTTTAATAAATAATTCAAATATATATTTACCAAGGGGGAATACATGAAGTGTTTCCAAAATTTTCCCTACTTCCTCTTTGTCCCTTACGACAATTCGCCAAAGTTCATCATCATGACCATCATCATTACTGCATTGTCCGTCATCCAAGACGTCATTCACTTTCCTCTTATTTACTTTATAAAATAGCTTGCCATGTTCAATCTGAAATAATCATTACAATATTATATATAATCATAAATTTAAATTAATGACAGACCCTTTCTTCTGTAAGTGAAGTTTGACGGAGAAAAGCAATAATCAGTATTTGTCCTCGGACCCAAAATCCTGGAGATAGTAGTGCATGGACCTAAAATCCCAGAAATTGTAGTCCCCCGGACCTAAAATCCCAGAAATTGTAGTCCCCCGGACCTTAAATACCAGAAATTGTAGTACCCCGGACACTTATTTCAGGAGCATAGGTCTGACGGACTTACATTCCTGGGAATGAATGTCTGTGTGTAAGCTAATAAGGCCTCTGTAAACGAAAATAATGTGTATTTTGGACATTATGAAAATTAACTGTAAATGAAAGCTTACTTTATAATTCGACTTGCTAGTTCTTCGAATAACTCTTTTCTGGGTCGGTGTTGTGCCTGTCGGGTGCCCTCTTGAAGATACTGAAATATAACCTCTATGTTGGGTCTAGCACGGGTGCTGCTCGTCCCTTCCATATCCAAAGTCAAGTGAGGGTGTGGTATCAGAATATGAGCGTATTTATAGCAGTGCAAGAAAGCGCGTGACATCTGCAACCAATCACAATTATCCGACGTGACAAAGTAAAGTGACCAGAAAACATGGCAAAGACATAAAAAATCACGCAAAAGTAAAAAAAAGGCGACTTCAGTCTTATAAGGATTCGAACTCCCATAAGATTACTCTAAGATGCTGTTCTGCATGCAAATTGTTGCACTGCCTAACCACTACGCCTGAGAGACGAACCGGCAAACGGGCGATTTTACGAAGTAATTATATATGCTCACTAAAGCATACTATTCATGTCACTGGCCTTTACCTAGTAGTAATATAAAGGGACGGACATAAAAATAGGGTGGACGTCCATTTCGCTGACTAAACGGAATGCAGGTCCGCCAGGAAAAGAATTCCTAACCATATTTATGCAGGAATACGGGTCCCATTAGGACTACTATTCCTAAGGAATAACCTCGGTTTCAGGCAGACCTGCATTCCGTTCACAGCGGCAATCTCTCCGTGCAGCCTAAAATTCTTCCTAAGGTGCTCCCTATCAAATGATAGTCAAGTGGTTTTCAGATTTTTCCTATGATCTGGTTCGGGTTTTCATTGATGACTAACATTGGAGGTTTGACACCAATGTCGTATCCACTCCAAATACTGACGCTGCCAGTGACCCTATAGTGACTTACGACGCGGTACATGCTTCGTCGTAGGCCTCTTCTGGATGTCTGTAAACTCTTTTTTGACTAGTTGAGCGGTACAGGTGAAATCTGAATAAAGAAAGACACGCGGTTTCAGTGTTCTACCCAGAAACGGCCGTTGTCCCCAATCCATTAGAGAAACAGACGACGGTGTTTTGCTGTTAACAGTGGGTTCCTCGGAGGTCGTCTGGTATTCTAACCTGCTAAAATCAGTTTGGTGTTCGCTAAGGGCCTTGAAAGATGCTTTTTGGTGGCAGTTTACCCCTCATTCTGAACGGACTGAGTGGTAATTGTTTTGTTGCAGCAGCATATCCCGAAAGACAGTGAGTCCAGAACCCTGGTGGTAGGATTTTGATGCATTGGATGTGGCCTCAGTGTAGGTACATCAGTCCGCATAATACATCAGTCAGTGTATTACTCTATAAAATTGTGCAAAAACTACTGCTTGCATGCGAAATTTCAAAATCTTCTATGCAGGAGTTGCCGACATATGGATACTTTTTTTGACATAACAATACTTTGCCAACACCAAGCTTCGGCTAGCCAAAAGGAGCACTACCCAATTAAATCAATAATCATTACACAATGCAGCAGTGCAACAGACACGGTAGTCAGTTAATTGGTTGCGGCACACTTGACTACACACTTCTCCATTCACATATCTTATATGATATCGGCGTTTTTTTTTTTTTTAAGAACGAATTTTTACCTAGGCATACCTTCGAAACTGAAATATTCCATATTACATGTCAAGTCAGTATATAAATAGAAACAGTGTTCGCATTTCTCTATAGCGAGTATAATGGGCATGTCTTTTGATGTTTTTAAATATTAAAATATTTAAGACACAAGATCTTAACAAAAAAATGTCACTTTTCTGCAGTTCAAGGTGGATGAAATCTTTCAAGGACATCGAGTCATCATATAACATTCACATATTTGGTTAATTGTTTAGTTAATAATGTTAACATACATCTCACCAACCGTTGCTTCGTCGGAGCACTTCCAACCAAGAGACCAAGGTAAAGGAATCCTACCAAAGCGAACGGCAAAATTCTCCCCATTGTGTGACAGGCACATGAAACAGGTACCGAGGAGCTTAGGTGTGAAATCTGCAGCGATCTGCATCTGCAGAGAGTGCGGCTTTATATACCTACAGGGCACAGACGATTTTATGGATTCCACTCCTGTTGCTGTCCCAGAGTGGAGTGATCTGTTATTGGTGCTACATTCCTCTTTCAAGACCCCCGGTCATAAATTTAAAGTTTACATGAATGATTCGGCATCGGAGATAATACAGCTAAGAACGTATGGAAAGAATAATTATTAGTTAAATAAGATTAATTGGAACTAATTTGGCTCCCCTTAGAAACCACACTATTGAAAGACTCGGTTTTATTAATCTCAAATATAAGAACCATTTGAACAAGTGAGCATGAACATTGTAATCGTTATCTGATTTTATCTGATGGTTCATTTACCCAAAAGGCGTGATTTTGTATTGGTTATAAGTAAATTATTAGTGCCTTTCAAACTTTTAGCTTCTATCACGACATGTCCACCTGTGTTTTCCCATCATATAAAGAGGTACAAGCAGTATACTCTGTCCATTAACACTAAACCCAAGCTACAAGTGCGTGTTTCTAGGGTTATAAGTGTTCATTTTATATATTCACTACAAATAAAATAAAGCTTAGCAAGTACTTTTAAGTGTAGCGAACTTATGTGTATCGAAAGGTCTATTAGCAATTTCACACTCTAGCATATAGATGTACGAATGAAAATCTTATTTGAAATCTGTTTTAAGCACATTTTTAAGTGTATTAAGCCACCCCCTTTCAGCATATGAAAGTGAACGTATAAGCAGCGTATAGTAAGCGAATGGCCGTTTGAGTAACTTTTTCAAGCATATGTCAACGTATGACATCTAAAGCAAATCTTATATCAACGTATGAGTAAGCATGGGAACCGCATATCAGCTTAGAGTACCGCATGTAAGACCGTGCACATGGCTGTAGCACATGAGAGGCTATGAGTGAAGGCAAAGTCACATTGTAGCGTATACACATGTAGCACCTACGTAAGATAAAAAGTGCCCATACGCAGACAAACACAAGGGCTTCTTTAGACTTACGTCGTACACGCATCGAGTACGCAAGAAAACGTTGGTGTACGTTCGCATGCTAGTGCGAACGGAATGGTAGTCCTAGTAACGCAAGTCTGAGCGGACAACGGAATGCAGGTCCGCCAGGAATAGAAGTCCTATCCATATTTATGACAGGAATACAGGTCCCATTAAGACTACTAATTCTAAGGAACCTCGGTTCCAGGCGGACCTGCATTCCATTCACACCGGGAGGGGGGAGATAAATTGNTGTGGAAGTAAAATTATCAAGCGACCGGGCCTCAGAGGCCCGGTTTCCAGGAAATGGGACTAACTTTTGGAAAAGTTAATTTCTACTTATGTTGTAAATTATTTCAAAACTAATTAATTATCCATTGATGGGGTATAAGTTGCTTGAGGATTACATGAAAGGAACAGGCTCAAAACCTCATGCGAACGAAGAGAGAGCAAAAGATACATGGGTCCGGGCCTGCGAGGCCCCTGAAAGGTGATTGAGGGTTAAGCATGATGAGTAAGCATGGGAACCGCATATCAGCTTAGAGTTGCACACTTTCATTCGCTGCTTATACCTCCTTTTAAAACGCTAGAAACTGGATGATTTCATCCGCATCAATGTGACATACAATACTACACTTAGATTTTTTTGTAGGTGTCACTCTAGAGCCTTTACTTGTGCGAAGTGGAATAAAGCATGGGTAGAGTAACAGCTGCATCCATGTACATGAAAGTGGATTTCTCCATCTTGAACAGCTTTGCTGAAGGTATTGCTAAACCATTGACTTTAATACTGTAAACAATGAGAAACAGACTGTTAACCTGGTTAGCTGTAACAAACAACAGTAAACAAAAATTCATGCATGTAAGCAGACAATAACAATCAACTAATGTTTACGTTGCAATATATAGATGTCGCTATGGTTTCAGCTGTTCGAGTTCAGGCAAAAAACGATGAATAATTTATGCTTAGCCTATAGTGATCGTTTGAAAGCGTGTCTGAATAAGAAAATTACCTACAAATTCATGACATTTTTTATGACATTTTTTAACATAATTTACCCTTGGTGGCCTCTTATGTGCAGTTCTTAATCAGGCTAAGAAAATCATTTTTGAAAAAAAAGTTGCTGCTATATTTTAAGCCATTTTGATCATTTTTTTTTATATTGACCTTGGCATTTAGACATGACCTTGACCTCCGATGACTTCCAAACATTTTTCAAATGAATGGCCGTGACCTTTAACATAAGAAGTGATACCCCTCACTAGTTCCTAAATTAGACAGTTTCCTTGCTATGCCCACCAAGCACCCTCCCCTATACGTTAGCGGCCATTTTGGATTTTTGGCACTTTGCTATGGGTGGATTCCGGTGGGAAATTATCTGGGTTATATTGGCCCAAAAGTGGACCAGAACAGTTGTGAAACCTTTGTTAACGTGTTTTTTTTTTTTTTAACTTCAATGGGGAAACTCCGTTCGTTTACTGGACTGGTAGTTGTTTTATTTATAATGTCAAGTAAGACTATATCAATTAAAATTGGTGGTTAATATAAATTTATACATTTTTATTTTTGGCTGTACGTATATTTCTTTCCGCTTCATAAACCAAGGCCAAATAGTTGGTTATAACATCAAGGTAAATAACCTCGCTTATTAAATTCCTGTAAGGTATTACCTAGCCGCCTTATTGTCACCCATTTCTTTGTGCAAAAAGACTGTCAGGCTTTTAATAAGGTAAAGAACCAAAGTGTGAGAAAAATTGTTTGTTGTACGGTGAACGCAGACGAACGCAATGGGTCGTTAGACTTACCTCGTATACTATTCGAGTACGCAAGCAAACGTTAGTGTATGTTTGCACACTCAGAGTGAGCTAAATTTTTCGTTAGTTTGTGTTTGAATTGTTTTTTCAACTATACATTGTAATATTCCAGGGACAAGTTCGTCCACCAGTTCCCAACCCCACTGTGCCGACCCCTCGATGAATATAAACCCCTGGCCTGGAGATAACTCCTCGTATTCTAACGAATAAAAGAAAAAAAGTTGAAACCATACTATATACGTAATCTCTCTCTTTCTATTTATGTCTATGACGGACATAAAATTCAGAATGATGGTGTTTATTTCCATATATCTTGTCCTGGTAATGGGAAAACGTAACCTGTTTCATACGATGAATCGTAGAGAGATTGACATTTGAGCATCTACTCAGTCTGACTCCCAAAATAATGGTGTCCAATAAACAGAATATTATTATTACCCATGCCTGCAGGGTTTTCCCCGCTGTTATGAAGTCTGTGATGTTTTTACCTACAGCTTATTTCAGATTTTGCCTTTTTCATACGTATCATATATACGTATTAAAATACCTGTATATACACATATAGTTCATCAAAAATCTCAAATGCATACATAAAGCAATAATACAATCGTACTATAATTATTTTCGTTCCGATAGGCTTTCTTCTCGGTATCCTAACCGATACCACACCAACATATACTTTATGTCTCCTCCATCTCAGTGTACCACAAACTTTTATAGTCTCATTCATAGCAAGAAAGAAGGCAACAAGGAATATTGTTTGTTCGTGATTTGGCCAAACCAGGCCGCTTTTATTATATAACCCCTCTATCCTAATCGTTTTAACAATAATAACAATGTAGCAAATTGTTGCCTGTATTAAATGTTATGGCCTTATATCAAATATTCAATAAGACTCATCATCCTAAAAATTATGACTGTCCAGTACAGAGGTAGCCTTTAAAGGACCTGTAAAGTCATGCGCAATGACTACCCACATACAATTTCTTCTCCTTTTCCTCTGGACTAGGAAGATGGTGTGGATGCTGCAATGCGTGGACCACAGATTGACATAAGCAACAGCCGTCCTTCAGTTGAAGATGTAAAAGTTTAACTTGTAAAAGACAAGACTCCAACCATTCATTGCTCTAGATGAATACATCCAAAGATTTCACTGTGGCATTACTGGTAGGCGACTGTGTACTGGCACATTCGCTGGGCAGTGCATGGTGCTCTTGACAGGTATACATTACTGAAAAATCAAAGTAAAAACGCACGCAGTATGATGGTCAAATATGCAAATGCAAGCAAAGTTCGGTCGGCAGAGGAGACAAATGTAGTATGAAGGAGGAGACGGGGAAGGCGGTGGGTGAAATTTTTTGAACTGAAGATTTCAGTTGCAGATTTGAGATAACTTGTAGCTAAATTGTATCATGCGCATGAACAGAATGAATCAAGCAAAATGAGGCCAGGCAGTGATGCCCCATGGTATAAGTAGCAACATGTGCCTCAAGAAGATTACCCCTCTAGGGCACAATTGAGCATGTGCAGAATGCACATGTGCATAAATAAGCTCTGGAGATTGTTGTCGCCATAAAATGTCGTTTGACTACGCCAAACTTTCCTTTCCCACGATTGTGCCGCCACTTTACTGCCATAGTGTATAAAGTACCCGGACACAGCTCCTGTTTTAATAAAAGAGGAGATTAAAGTCATAATAACTCTTCATTTTGGCCAAAAATTGGATTTTCCTGGAGTAAACGGCAATTTTCCCGTACTTACCAATGGTCAGCGACCCCATTCCTGCATTTAAAGTTAATCCAGGGTCTTTTTTCCAAAACGTACGGTTTTTTGTTAAAATCTCTTAAGAGATTTTAACTGACGGAGCTCTCTGTGACATCGCATAGTCACTGTTGTCCTACTTAAAACCGCGGGAAAAGCAGACAACAACAACACTATAAAAGATTCATGAGATATATTCGTCTTTTTGTTAAAAATACATTAATATCCACAATGTGTGCCATTCTGGGCTTTTCGTTATCCGACGCACTGTACAAAAACTCGCAACTTACGTCTGCGTCTGCATTAATGCGTTTGGCGCCATACGTTATTTTGGTCTCGAATGAACGCGAGAATCCGCGTGACACTATTACGTCATTAGCAACGAGTGCCTTGATGACCGGGAAGAAAAGCATCGAAAGCCCTGTTGACAAGCACAGATTTTAGTTTTACTACAATAACGGCCGGTTTAGTGGTAAAATACAATAG